CGCGCGGAATGAAATAAGCCAGATACGGGACATACGTTGGATTCCGCTCACATGAGGTACCTGGAATAGGAAAATTCCTAGAGGAGTAAAGGTTACCGGGTACTGGGGGAAGGACTAGGATTTTTTTTTTTATTATTTAAGATTTTATTTATTCATCCGTGAGAGACAGAGAGGGGCAGAGACACAGGCAGAGGGAGAAGCAGGCTCCCTGCAGGGAGCCCGACGCGGGACTTGATCCCGGGACCCCAGGATCCCGCCCTGAGCCAAAGGCGGCGCTCAACCGCTGAGCCACCCGGGGATCCCCGGATCTCTATTTAACGAGGACAGGCCGCAGCTTATCGACAGAGCAATACTCTCAAAGCTAATTAGCAACTTTTGTTGGGAGAAAAGGGGACGCGGGAAGGGAGAGCCCCCAGGCCCCGCCGATCCATCGCTGGGAGCTCGCCTCGCCAGGCTGGGGGGCCTCGCGGGGCCGGTGGATAGGCGCTCCTCTCCGCGAACTAGGAGCCCGCAGGTCGCGGGGGAGCGCGGCCGGCCCGAGGTCTCGCGGGGGAACGCTGGCCCGCGAGAACGGGATCCCACGGAGCCGTGGGGGCCCAGTCCGTCCGTGCGTGCCGGCGGTGGCCCACCTTCGGCGTCGAGCTGCGGTGAGGGAGCAGGGCCCGCCCCGGCGCGCGCCGCGCGGGGCCTCCCGGAGGTCCGGCCGGGAGCGGGGCGAGGCCCGAGGCGCTCGGGGCGGGGCGGCCGCTCGCGTGGGCGGGGCTGGCGGGAGGACGGCCCTCCCGCCGGGTGACGGAGCCGCCGCTCCGGGCCCCTGGGGTGACGCGAGGGCGGACGCGGCCCCCTCAGCGACTGGCGGTGCGGCCTGCGGGGGCGCTGTGGCCGCCGGGCTCTCCCGCGGTGGGAGCCGGGGCGCGCTCGCGGCGCGGCCCACACGCGCGGCCCTGGAGGCTTCCTCGTGGCGCCCGGGAGGGTGGGCGTGGAGTCGGGGCGGGCCCCGGCAGTCCCGAGGGGGTTTTTGCCTCAGGCCCGGATCGGGCTCCCGGCTTGTCCCCTGGGGACGCGGAGACCGCGGGTCATCTGTTTCCTCCCCGTGACGGCCGCTCGTTCGAGGGAGTGTCGGGCTCGGCCTCGCTGACTGCCGATTTCTGGCCAGTCTGTTCCGAGCTTCTGCGCTTTTGAAATGGGTTTTATTTATTTCTGAGAGTACAAATCCTGAGGAACGACTAAGAGATGACAGGAATCCATATATATAATACGCATTATAGAAGAGAAGAAAATGCTGAATTGTCACTGAGGTAATTAGGTAAAGGGCAGGTCACCTCAACAGACAACCGATTATGTAGCCATGGAGTTGAAATATTTGAAGAGTGATTGGAGCAGAAGCAAACACCTAAAAAATAATAGGATTTTATATCACATGCTGAAACTAAAACTTTGTGGAGAATGATCGAACATGCATACTTAGAAAATCTGACTCTAGACCTCCAGCTTAAATTTAATTAGTTTAAAAATCTAGCATCTTTACGATTACAAATTCATATTAAAACATAGCAAAGTACGTTCTAGGGCCTGCGTTTTAGAGAGTATTTATTTATGTAATGAAAGTGCCAAATTCATGATCTTTTAGTACTTTAAAGAATTTATTGCATGAATCTGAACTAGAAAATATTCCACATTTTTAAATTGAACATTAAAAATTTGGCATAAGGGACGCCTGGGTGGCTCAGCGGTTGAGCGCCTGCCTTTGGCTCAGGGCGTGATCCCGGGATCCTGGAATTGAGCCCCACATTGGGAGCCTGCTTCTCCCTCTGCCTGTGTCTCTGCCTCTCTCTGTGTGTCTCTCATGAATAAATTTTGGCATAAAATTCTAGGTTTCAGGGTTGATGGAAGATAATTTTAAATAAAAATTTTATTTAAAATTATTTTTATAAATTGCTAATGTGTTTATTCCACAATGAATTCTTATGGCTCATTTACCAGGCGCTGTCTGGGTTATTAGAATACATTAGTGAGCAAAAAGTTACTGCTCACTCTAGAGGAAGATAAAGAACCTAAACATATCGTATGCCAGTTAGCTCTTCGTGCTATGAAGAAAAATAATGTACCATACACAAACATTTATTTATTTTCTTAAAGAATTTATTTATTAATGAGAGACACAGACAGAGGCCGAGAGAGAAGCAGGCTCCATGCAGGAAGCTGGATGCGGGACTCAGACTCCATCGCGAGTCTCCAGGATCACGCCCTGGGCTAAAGGCAGGCGCTTAACTGCTGAGCCACCCAGGGATCCCAACGGAGACTTTTATTATTATTTTTAAAGATTTTTTAAAATTATTATTCATGAAACACACAGGGAGAGAGAGAGGGGCAGAGACACAGGCAGAGGAAGAAGCAGGCTCCATGCAGGGAGCCCCACGTGGGACTTTATCTCCGGTCTCCAGGATCACACCCTGGGCTGAGGGCAGTGCTAAACCGCTGAGCCACCCGGGCTGCCCCCAACGAAGACTTTTAGATAAAAGTTGTTTTCTTTCATAGAGGCTCATCAGAACAAAAAATATAATAGATGTTTTTATTCTGAACTGAAGCATTTCTTTTTTTTGCCAGAACAAGAAATTGAATCAGAAATTCTTTTGAATATATTTGTTATTTATTTGGGAGGTTTTTGAATTAGTTTATGAAATATTTTTTTTCCCAAACAAGTATTTTTATTTTTTATTTTTTTTTAAATTTTTTAAATTTATGATAGTCACAGAGAGAGAGAGAGAGAGAGAGAGAGAGAGGCAGAGACACAGGCAGAGGGAGAAGCAGGCTCCTTGCACCGGGAACCCGATGTGAGAATAGATCCCGGGTCTCCAGGATTGCGCCCTGGGCCAAAGGCAGGCGCCAAACCACTGCGCCACCCAGGGATCCCCCCAAACGAGTATTTTTAATTTATAGGTTCATTTTGTTTGCAGTTTCCTTTAGAATAAAGGATTGAAACACATACATGTAAGCCTTAGGATTTCCTACTTAAATTTTGAGGTATCGAAGCCATATAAAAGTGGTCCAGTGACTTTCAATATTGAAAACTTTTTTTGTTACTTAAAATTATAGTTTTCCTAAGATGAGAAAGGGAATATTTTGTTACTCTTTTTTTAAAAAGATTTATTTATTTTGAGAGAGAGAGAGAGAGAGAGAGTTGAGGGGTGGGACAAGAGGGAGAGAGAATCTCAAGCTGACTCCTTGCTGAGTGTGGAGCAGTCAGGACCCTGAGATCATGAGTTGAAGTCCAGAGTTGGAGGTTTAACCCACTGAATCACCCAGGTTCCCCTATTTGTTACTTTTTGGATACTATAACAACATGATTAGCATTTTCATTCGTACTTTATCAGGTATTATTTTCAAGTTCTGAAATTGTTTACTTAGATAAAGATGTTAAAGACTCCGTTAGCAGATTTTGGAATGACTCCCTTCTGTCTCTTCTCCCTGTTATCTTAGGTTTCTATTGTTAATACATCGTTTTAGACATTTGTAGAACCATGCTAATTTGTTTCAATTTAACTGTTTCTTTTTGTTGGTGACTAAGTGATTAATAAATTTAAAAAGAAATGAAGAGGGCAATTAAACAACTGGGAGGAGAAAAAACTCAGTAACTAAAACAATGAAAAATCCTACAACATTCTGAATAAGAACAGTCCTAAGATACACATAGATTTAGCCTCTTATCAGTAGTATTTTGTCAAGGGTGCATGTGGAAACATTCCTGTCTCCTCTACATACTCCCTACATCAGGGAGGACCCAAAATTGAAGGAATATGATCTCACTTGGTAGTATGGATTTCTCCACAAGATGGCACTCATATAGTTCCTTTGATTTTAGTTTCTATCCTAAGAAAAGAATTGCAATATATTAACTATCACAGTAAATAGAAATATGATTTATGTTTTATGGTTTGTGAATCTATTTCATGTTTTGTCATATAGAATTTTCTATCATGTTTCAGAATTTAGAAAAAAAATTGAGATGTAGTGTTGATGTGCAGGGGAAAGAATGGCAAGGTGAATGGAACAATGTATGTGTCTGTAGAAATGGTTCTTCAGTTTCCTGTTAAGTTTGAGACTTTGTACAGCCCTAGAATTTTATTATATCCCCAGGTGGCCAGTACTGAATGTTTTTATCCTTTATATTTAGATACTATCTATTAATGTAAAAATTGTCTTTTTAGAAAGGAATGTAAACATTTCTATATATACATTACGTAATGTGAATGTAAACAGATATATATACATTAAACATGCAAATTTTTTTATTTTGGAAAAGTTCAAACATATACAAAATTGACAGAACATTATACTGAACTCCATGTACCTATTATATAGCGGTAGCGGTTATCAACTCATTACCAATATTCTTTCATCAATACCCCTTTATCTCTTCCCCATTTATTTTGAAGCAAACCTCTACATATGTATTTGGCATATTGTTAGAGACACATTCGTGATAAAATGTATTATCCTAAATCAATAATAATGGTGTGAACAAAGTATTAAGAGCCCAAAAGGAGTGATTAATTCTGTCTTGGAGAACAAGACAAACTCAGAGAAGCCTTTGAAGAAGAAATGTCGTTTGACCAATGCATGAAGGATGAGTAAGGATCTGGAAGTAAGGAAATGAAAGAAAACACATTCTAAGCATTGGTGCAGTATGAAGAGAGGGGTGCAAATGTGAATATGCATGAATGAGTAGAGAACAGAAAATAATGTATTTGAATATTGAGGCACTTTGGAGGAAGCTGCAGAAGATACAGCTGGAAAGATAGTCTGGTTATCCTGGGAAATTAATAAATATACCTCATGTATTCAGAAATATTTTTGTACAGATCTGTAAAACTAAGAACAGATCTGTAAAACTAAGTTCTGAATAACTAAGATATAAACTAAATATTAATATTAATAACAAAAATATAAACTACTTTTTCTATATTTTGGTAGATTTGTGACACAGTCCAGTTTTAACAATGCTGAAATCAAATGACTCCTTGTTTTCTTTGGATACTTTGTTTTTTGAAAAACCAGATGAAGCTGAAAAGTAAGTCTGCCTTAAAGGATAACATAGTATATTGTTTTAGAGATACTTGATTTTTGAGGAGTTTTAATTTTTTCTGGAAATATACAAATAAATGAGGGACCAATAGAATGATATTTCAGGTATATATTTGGTAAACATGGAATTCAGATATAAGGGAGTAACTGAAGTTTAACATCTTAAATATTGTAACTTAAGAAATAGAGTAGATTCTTGTCTATTTTGCTTTCATTTGTTTGCATTTCTGGTTTGTTCCAATTATTTTTGGCAAAGGTAAAGACTTGAAGTAATGGTCAAATAGTAGTCCTGGACAAATAGTGATGGCACCTTTTGAAAACAGAATGGGCAGTGTGCCAAAAGCCAAATATGATGGGCAAATTCATTGTAGGCAGGAAGTAGGGGTGGAAATAAAGATGTGGTGCCGAAGGAAATAAGAACAGAGAATAGTCTGTAAAATACAGGTTTTTATGGATTTTCACATGTAAATTGTTCTCACTTCTAAGTTTTCTATGTATTCTATTGTATTATCTTTTTTTTTTTTTAAGATTTTATTTTTGAGTAATCTCTATACCAGTGTGGGGCTAGAACTCACAGGATCAAGAGTTGCATGTTTCACTAAGCCAGCCATGCAACCCTGTGTTATCTTTTTTTTTTAAATAAAGAAGCATTGAGTATTTATTGCTTCATTAATTTTTTTCATTTATTCAAATATTAACTCAAATATTGATTGCTAAAAGGGATATAAGAAGGATGAGACAGACTTGTACTTCAAAAGAACTTAAAATCTATTTGAGGAGATTAGCATACATATGGAAATGTCATCAATAAATAACATGACTATAATTCATTCAGATTTGGATGCTTTGAGACTGAAAGAGTGCATCCAATTTGCACAACAGGTGTTAATCAGGCCTGGGCTGGGCAAAATGCAAAATATATTTGTCTTTCTAACAACACAGAGTCAAAAAAGGTGCGAAGGAAATATTAGCCTATATTCACACAATGAAATTTCAGATTTGGAGGGAGTACAGACTGATTGGGTTAGGCTCTATGGTAATGGGGAGACACTTCGCGAGACCTTGAAGGATTTGGTAATTCTAAAAAAGCAGAGAAGAGGAGGCCACTTGAAGGCAGAATTTAACAGCAAGAAAAAAGATTGGAGGTGGGACAATTTGCAATACTTTTAGGAGAGAGTATATAGAGAAGTTTTCTGGAATAGAAGGTTCATAAAGGAGAAACAATTAGACATAAAGTTAGAAAAATAAACTGAGGATAGGTTGTGGTGGATGTTAAGGGCCAGAATAAGGATCTTGGACATGACTTTGTATGTGTTAAAAACCATGGAACTAAATCAATAAACATTTATTGACTAATATGCCTAATTATGTAAATACTTGCTAAGTATTATCGATGTGAATGGAACTAGAAATAAACCCTTAAGTGTTTATGATCTAGGAGTGGTATCAGACTGATCTATCATTAATCTTTCTATATGCCTATATATCTATATTAGACCTACATACAGATACACATAATATAAGAGAACTGTGATAAATATTATAGGTTCAAATAGTACTTAAGATGACGGAAGGATTTAAGCTTGATTTTGAATGAATGTAAGCTCTAGGGCCTTGGACAGTGGCTGGAACATAGTACTCAGTAAATAGCTATTGAATAGATTAATGAAAGAATGAAAGAGTTGAACTTCTATAGATAGATATGGGATAGGGTCATGTCCAGTGACAAGCAGAGTAAAGGAAATATTTTTGAACAAAGATGAGGGATAAAATGCATTATCTATTTGGTATACAAGTAGTTCACTTTGGCCTGGACTGTAAGTTCCCTAGTGTAGGAGAGTTAAAATTGTAAGGTAGCCTAAGGCCATTTGGACGTTTGGCATTCTTTGGAAACCACTGAAGTATTTTGAATGGAATCTAATTATAATGAAAACAATTCTAAATTAATGTGATAGCGATGTGTAAAATATATTAGTGAAATCTGGAGGCAATGAGGCCAGTTAGGACACTTGTTCTTAACCATACATAAATTGATTAGAGCTTTGATTGGAATAGTGACAGTGGAAGTACAAGGAAAAAACAAATTCAAGAAGCATAAAGAAGATGCAGTAAGACCTGGCATATGTCTGGATATAGTAGGTAAAAGATTATGCTATAATTTGGATTCTGGATGGGTAAGGGAATGATGACACCTCTAGAAAATAGGAAAATTATAAGGCAGATTTGATTTTATGGGGAGACTGGATAGTAGAATTAGATGTGTGCTTTTTGTGTATTGTTAATACCTTTCTTAGATTTTCTAGAATTTAGGTATATACCAGACACGGGATGCCCAGTGATTGGTCTGCAATAAAAACCCTGGGCACTGAGTATCTAATGAGCCCCCTCATTGACAACACTTCATACATGTTGTTACAACTTGTTCCTGAGGGAATTAAAGATGTCCTGTGTTACTGTACTGGGAGAGGGCCTTTGGAAGCTTGTTCTTGGTTTCCCCTGAACTTTGCCTTATTATCATGAGTAGGATGATATGTTGAGTCCTTTGAATTAGTCCAGGGAATCATTGGCTCTGGGGTAATCTTGGGGCCCCTCTGACAGTCCTAAATTTCAAATGCTTTGGCCTATTATCACACAGTCTGTCAGAACATTGTTAGATAACATGTTGTAGATTTTTTATTTGGAAAACATAGCTAAAGTAGCTATGCATTATTTGCTATGAAAGGCAGTAAAGTAAAAGACTGGCTCTCACTTTTAAGAGCTTAAAATCCTAAATGAAGAGAGTAAAAAACAAATTATAAAATCCTTGTTGCATGGCATAAACAGTGTATGTGGTGCTCTTCTCAAATATATTTCCTATCACTTAATACTTATCTTTTTGTTCTAATGAAGGGCAAATCAATGTTTTTTGAAAAGGAAACATTAAAACATTATATGTTAATAGGATCACAGCTGAAAGATAAGGAGAGGTAGTAGTTCACAATGCCAACAAGGTGCCAAAAATCTCAACAACTATAGGTTTACAAAGTGATTGTCAGTTTCAACTGGTTTCTTGGATTTTCTGTGGTTTATAGGTGGTTCTGGATCAAGACTTTTTGGGTTAGCACAGTAATTTGTAATGTTTTAGGAATACTCTAGAATACCAGTAGTAGTGTCATTTACACACTGATGACCCATGATTAGTTGTGAGGTGTGTCATAAGTAACTTGTTACTTGTGATAGGATACTAATGTTTCAGAATGATTTACTACTTTGTTTTTAATATGGAGTAGATTTAAGATTCTTGTCACAAGCGTTTGAATTGGAGAAAAAGAGATGGAGTTATAGTCAATATTTAGATAGCATATCTCACATAGCAGTGTTATTAATCCTATGACACACAAGGGAAAAGATTGAGAACACTGCTGTGTATAGAGATACATCAAATTCACCATAGAAAATTAATTTATAGGATGTTTATCTAGGAGTCTATAATTGAGTAATGTTTAATTAATAATTTCTGATGTAACTTTATTAACATATCTTCATACCTTTATATTTTGTATAGCTATCCAGACAATGAAAAATCATTGGATTGGTTTCTCCCACCTGTTCCACTGATTTCAGAAAGTCATAAACTGTTAGGTAAACCATCACATATTTGTTATGAAGTTATTAAACCCATGCAACTTATGTCAATGTAAAAAATCTAGTAACACATTAAAGTATTAATTCCTTTATTTTAATGGAATAAAATGATAGAGACTTATTTTGTTCAAAATAGTGCTCACCGAATCTAAAAATCTAAAACATTTTCCTTTCTATACATATATACACATATATATGCATATTAAATGTATACAGTACACTATCACACACATGTTCTATTGTATGAATTTGTTTCCTCTTACTATTAAAATTGTTGGTCCCATTTAGTTTTTGTCTTGCCTTTTACTAAAGGTAGGATCCTCTCTGGCTTATGAAAACCACGTTCCTGAAAAAAACAAGATGTGGAATATTATATATAGTTTGGTACCATTTTTATAAAGTTAAAGACAAGCAAGCACATTCAAACAATATATGTGATCTTATGTGGTATTATTATTTTTTAAATATTTTATTTATTTGTTCATGAGAAACACACGAGAGAGAGAGAGAGAGAGAGAGAGAGAGAGAGAGAGAGCAGAGACACAGGCAGAGGGAGAAGCAGGCTCCATGCAGGGAGCCTGACCTGGGACTTGATCCCCGGTCTCCAGGATCACACCCTGGGCTGAAGATGGCGCTAAACTGCTGAGCCACCCGGGCTGCCCTTATTATGTGGTATTATTGATAACATTTTGATTTTTAAATTTGGTGGTAGTTCATTTATGTATATCTTAAACTTTGTAATTTGTATATATTATATACATGAAAATATACATTATTTATATCCCTATATGTACCAAATAATATATAGGTTACACAAGCTATATATACCATACACATAGATGATAAAGCAAATTTAAGCCCTAATAAGGCCTCCAGATTCCTCCCAACCTTTCAAAGATGCTTGTAAAGTCTCTGTAAAGAAACTTTAAAAATTTTGCCACCCTGATGAAATCATACCTTTATCTTGATTTTAGAAGCAGTATTACAAAATTAAAAGCATTGTATCATGTATTTTAATACTTAAATTCAGTAACATTTTGTTATGATTGGTCATTGTATTTCTGTGTGTAGATTGGCTATATAAATTTTCAGATCATCATAATTGTATAATTATATGTCATTTTTAGTAGATAAAATACTTAAAAGTATAATTATGGTTATTTCTGAGGGTCAGAAATTAAACCTATTTTATAATGTAGGTTTTATATAAATTTCAAATTTCAATAATCCTTGATTGAGTGCCCTTCAGTGATATGTCCAGTAGCAGTACCAATCATCTGTAGTTCAAAACCATATGTGATATTACAGATTCTCTTGTTATTGTATGAATAACTTTCATGTTTACCTCGTCAATTGTTTTGAAAATTTTTATTAAATTTTTTCATGGTCATTTTGAAAGTTTATTTTCGTGGAGAACATATATTAATTAATATATTCCATTTTTGTAGGTCAGGAAGAAAGGCCAAAAATGTTACCATCAAATTTAAAGATGACTAATGAAAACACAAATTATATTTCACCAACACAAAAATTCCAATTTGCCTTTTCTTCAAATAAATGTGAAACAGGTGATCTGAATTTAACAGAAGCAGGTAACCATAACTTAACACGTGTTCCTGGGAAGCTGACCTATGGTTCTCAGAAATACAAAAATCACATTGGCACCGAGATAGCACCTGAGAAAAATGTTTCAGGTAATACAAAATTAGTAAATTTTGCAGAAGATAAAGGAGAGAGCACATCAGCCTTCCGAAAAAGGTAATTAATTAAATGAAACACTGAAGACTCAGTAATAAAGGTGGATATTTATGATATGTCCAAACGTATGAAGTATAATAGAATCTAAATGAGAAAAACAGCAACAACAAATAAGGTTTACTATATACCAGATGCTTTGTTAAATCTGGGATTCTAGTCATAGGTTCTTGCCTTTAGAGAGCTACAGCTTAATGGGGGAAAGACCGTAAATAATGAAAAATAATTGATTAAATACTTAATACTACAATAATTATTTTGATGAGGTATATGGTTATAACAAAGGTTCTTAAACTTTTTATTGTTGGGACCCTTTACACTTAAAAATTATTGAGGATTCCCAACAGTTTTTGTGTATGTGGTTATGTCTATCAATATTTAACTATATTAGAAATCAAAATTGAAAAAATTTAAAAGGTAAATGATGCTTTAGTAATATTAGAAAATTGTTTTGATACTATGAACTCTTTGAAAGGGTCTCAACCATTCTTTGAGAATCGCTGTTACAGCTCTGAAGCATCACGGAAGGCTTTCCTGAAGAAATAGTATTTAAACTTAGCCTTAAGGAAGAATAGGATTAAACTAAGGGCAAATAAAAGAGAATATTCCAGGCAGAAGGAATAGTATGTGCAAAAGATATATGGTAGCACAGAGCTTGACCTATTCTTAGAAAATTTCCTTTTGGGTAAAATTAGAATTCAGAGAGGTAAGGTTTAGAGGGAGCAAGTCATTCAGAGTCACATAGCCTGTGATAAACTTTGTGCTTTTTCTTAAGGCATTGTTTCTTCAACTGTGGCCTGTGGACCCACTCTATCAGAATCACCTGGAGTGCTTGTTAGAAATTTGGATTCCTGGGTCCTACCTTAGGCCTGTTGAATCACAGTCTAGCTGAAGGTGGGGAAGGGACCCAGGAATTGTCAACAGTTTTTCTGCATGATTGTTATGCACACTAAAGTTTGAAAGCAAGTGTTTTAAGGTCCTGCATTTTAACCAGAAGAATAAAATTAGTTTTTATTTTTTAATTTAAAGTCCACTTTGGGGATCCCTGGGTGGCGCAGCGGTTTGGCGCCTGCCTTTGGCCCAGGGCGCGATCCCGGAGACCCGGGATTGAATCCCACGTCAGGCTCCCGGTGCGTGGAGCCTGCTTCTCCCTCTGCCAGTGTCTCTGCCTCTCTCTCTCTCTGTCTCTCTGTGACTATCATAAATAAATAAAAAAAAGAATAAAGTCCACTTTGGCATTAGTATGATGAATCAGAAGGGAGCTAGAATATGTTGTGAAAGGTTACTTTAAGAAGGTTTATTTATTTATTTATTTATTTATTTATTTATTTACTTACTTACTTACTTACTTATTTTTTATTAATCTAGGTGAGAGAAAATGGGAGCCTGATGTTGACTGTGGTAGCAAGGATGAGAGAGTTCAGAGTGATTTAGGAGATAGAATCCCATAGGACCTAAATGATTATTAGATATGACCCCTGACTCCAAGTTATCTGACTTGAGCCCTAACAGTGAAGGATGGTAGTGCCCTTTCATAATATAGAAAACTATTAAAGAAGAACAGGTTTTGGGGATGGTGATGAGTACAGATTTGGACATGTTGAGTTTGAGGATCTATAAATTGTCCAAATAGAGAATTCCATGCATGGGTTTAAAGATTCAGAAGAGCTCTAGTTGATAGGTTTTGTTTTCTCTGTGACATAAGAAATGAGATCATTTGTGGAGTTGGAGGGAAAAAGTGGGAGTATTGAGCACGTATGAGAAGAGTGGAGGAGATTATGGAAAATGGGAAAGCAATCCAGTTAGAATAATGGTAGGATTGTTGGGCACTCTAAAGAGCCCAGTTGCTGTTGATGTCTATGAATTTTTTTTTGTAACATCTCTATTAAGATATAACTTGGGGCACGTGGGTGGCTCAGATAGTTAAGCATCTAACTCTTGGTTTTGGCTCTGGTCATGATCTCAGGGTTGTGAGATAGAGCCCTCCTTGCACAGCAGGGAGTCCGCTTGAGATTCTCTCCCTCTCCCTCCCCACTCTGTTCTTCCCCCTACTCATACTCTCTCAAACAAATAAAATCTTAAAGAGATATAACTCACATGAAAATTCACTCTTCTGAAGTAGACAGTTCATTGGTTTTTAGAATATTCACTGAGTTGGGTAATCATCACTACTATCTAATTTTAAAACATTTTCATCCCCCTCAAAGAAACTGTATTCATTATTGATCACTTCCCTTTCCAACTCCTCATTCTCCTCCTCCTCCCCAGCCCCTGGCAACCACTAATCTTTCTGTTTTTATGCATTTACGTATTCTAGACTTTCATGTAAGTAGAATTACAATGTCTGGCCTTTTGTGTCTGGCTTCTTTCACTTAGCATAATGTTTTCAAGGTTTATCCATATTACGTCATGTATCAATACTTCATTCTTTTTATGGTCAAGTAATATTCCATTGAGTGGACAATACAACATTTTGTTTATCCATCTATCAATTCTTGGGCATCTGGATTGCTTTTACTTTTTGGCTATTACTAATAATGTTGCTCTGAACATTCATGTACAAGTTTTTGTATGAATTTATTTTTTTAATTCTTTTGGATTTATACCTAGAACTGAAATTGCTGGGTCATATGGTAACTATATACTTAGCTTTTTTGAGAAACTGCTCAATTATTTTCCAAAGTAACTGCATCAATTCACAACCCTACAAACAACATGTAAGGGTTTCAATTTCTCTACATCCTTGTCAGCAGTTGTTATGTTTTTTCTTTTTTTTTTATTGTAGCCATTCCACTGGGTATGAAATGACATCTCATTGATTAGCATTTCCCTAATGACTTATGGTATTGGGCATCTTTTCATGTGATTATTGGCTATTTGTGTATTATTACCTTTGTAGTAATGTCTATTCAGATTCTTTGTCTGCTTTTTAAGTTGGGTTTTCTGTCTTTTTATTGTTGAGGTGTAAGAGTTCTTTATATATTCTGGATAAAATTCTTTTATCAGTTGTATGATTTGGTAATATTTTTCCTATTCTTTGTGTTGGTTTTCTTTCACTTTTTTGATAATGCCCTTAGCACTCCAAAAGTTTTAAATTTTGATGAGTCCAACTTATCTAATTTTTCTTTTGTTGCTTGGGCTTTTGGTGTCATATCCAAGAAACCATTGCTTAATCCAAGGTTGTATAAAGATTTACTACTACATTTTCTTTTAAGATTTTTATAGTTTTAGCTCTTACATTTAGGTCTGTAATCTTTTATTTATTTATTTATTTATTTATTTTTAAGATTTTATTTTTTCATGAGAGACAGAGAGAGAGAGAGGCAGAGACACAGACAGAGGAGAAGCAGGCTCCATGCAGGGAGCCTGATGTGGGACTTGATCCCAGGACTCCAGGATCATGCCCTGGGCCAAAGGCAGGCACCAAACCACTGAGCCACCCAGGGATACCCCATGTAATCTATTTTTTAAAAAGACTTTTTATGTTGATTTGTTTTAGAGAGAGAGAGAGAGAGGGAGAGAGAGAACATGAGCAGGGGGGAGGAGCAGAGGGAGAGGTATAAGCAGACTCCGTGCTGAACACAGAGCCTGACATGGGGCTTGATCCCAGGAGTATGAGACCATGACTTGAGTTGAAATCAAGTCAGATGCTCAACTTACTGAGCTACTCAGGACTATTTTAGAGCTTACTGAGCCCCTAGGTCTATTTTGAGTTAATTTTCATTGTGGTACAAGGTAGAAATCCAGCTTCATATTTTTTGCATGTCGATATTCTGTTGTTCTGGCACCATTTGTTGAAAAAACTATTCTTCCCCCATTGAATGTCATAGCACCTTAACTGAAAATCAGTTGACTGCAAATATAGGGTCTAGGGGAGGGTTTCTGACCCCAATCAATTCTCTGCATCTCCGATACTGATGGGTGTCCAACAATTCAATTCTGTATTCATACTACCTCCCGGAATTAGCATCACATCTTACAGGCTAAGGGCTCAATTCCATAAGACTGCCCCACTTCAGATGTCATTCACAGACAGGGTTCCAGGCTACCCAAATTTCTGCCTTGCAGAATACAAATTTAGGGGTTCCCATAACCCCCACATTAGGTTTAATAATTTTCTAGAATGACTTATATAACTGAGGAAAACACTATACTTATGTTTACCAAATCATTATAAAGGATACAATCCAAGAACAGCCAAATGGGAGAGATGCATAGAGCAAGTTATGGAGAAGGAGGGTGTGTAGAGCTTCAATGCCTCTTCAAGTATATCACCTTATGAGCACCTTAGTGTGTTTACAACCTTTAAAAAAAAAGATTTATTTATTTTAGGGAGAGAGCTCATGAGTGTACATGTGGGCTAGAGGGCGAGAAGTAGACTCCACACTGAGTGAGGCTGTATAAAGGTTTACTACTACGTTTTCTTCTAAGATTTTTATAGTTTTAGTCCTTACATTTATTTTTTTTAAGCTTGTATTTATTTTAGAGAGAAAGCAGGAGCAGGGGAAGGAGCAGAGGAAGAGGGACAAGCAGACTGCACTGAGCGTGGAGCTCAACTAGGGCTGGATCCCACAACCCTGACATTATGACCTGAGTCGAAATCAAGAGTTAGATGCTCTACTGCCTGAGCCATCCAGGAGCCTCTGTTTACTACCTTTGATGCTCTCTGAACCTCCCATCATTTAGGGGTTTTTCCTTTATGGTAGTTTCATTAGGTAGGCACCGTTGATTGAATCATTGGCCATTGGTGGGTGATTGAACCCAATCTCCATTCCTCTTTCTTCCTTGGATGTCACAGATGAGGCTGAAAGTTTAACCTTTTATAATTAGGGTTTATTTTTTTCTGGCAATTAACCCCCCCATCCTGAAGCTATGCAGGGGTCCTACAGGAGTAACTTCATTAGCATAAACTCGGGTAAGGTTGAAAGGAGTTTGTCATGAATAACAAAAGATGCTTTTTATCACTTCTATCACATGAAATTCCAAGGGAACTTGGAATTTATCACTTCTATCACATGAAATTCCAAGGGAATTCCCGTGCCAGGAACTAGAACAAGACCAAATGTATGTTTCCTATTATGCCAGTGAGGAAACTATCTACTAAATAAAGGTTTATTTCTGGACTCTCAATTCTATTCCATTGACTGATATGTCTTTCCTTATGCTTTACATAAGGACCTATCCCACAATGTCTTGATTGCTGCTGTAGCTTTTGTTGTGAAGTTTCAAATCGGAATGTGTGAATCCTCCAATTTTGTTCCTTTTTTCAGGATTTTCTTGGCTTTTCTGGGTTATTTGCATTTCCGTATGAATGTTACAATAAACTGGTCAATTTCTGCAAAGAAGCCAGCTGGGATTTTGATGGGGAACGTGTTGATTCTGTAGATCAACTTGAGCTTTACCATCTTAACATTAAGTCTCCTGGTTTGTGAACATGGAATATCATTACATTTGTTTAAATTTTCATTAATTTCTTTCAGTAATGTTGTGAGATTTTCAGTGGACAAGTCATACTTATTTTGTTAAGTTTATTCCTAAATACTTTATTCTTTTTGATGCTTTTATAAATGGACTTAATTTTTTTTTCAGATTGTACATTGCAAGTGTATAGACATCAATAATTGATTTTGGTATATTGATTTTATATCTGCAGTCTTGCTGCTGCTGCTGACTCTCAATTTTAATGTTCAGAGTGTTGAATCATCTACCAAAATGTTTTTTCCAGTAGTATTCCCCTGCCTGGCTGCAATTATTTTAAAGATTTTTAAATTTATTTTTTATGAGAGGGAGAGAGCACAAGCAGGGGGAGCTGTAGAGGGAGAGGGAGGAACAGGCTCCCCCCGCCCCCCCCACCCCCCTTGGCAGGAAGCCTGATGCAATGCAGGGCTTGATACCTGGACACCAGGATAATGACCTGAGCAGAAGGTAGATGCTCAACTGACAGCCACCCAGACACCCTGCAGTTATTTTTTTTTAATTTTTTTTATTTATGATAGTAACAGAGAGAGAGAGAGAGAGAGAGAGAGAGAGAGAGAGAGGGAGAGAGAGAGAGGGAGAAGCAGAGAGAGAAACAGGCTCCATGCACTGGGAGCCCGACGTGGGATTCGATCCCGGGTCTCCAGGATCGCGCCCTGGGCCAAAGGCAGGCGCCAAACCACTGCGCCACCCAGGGATCCCCATCCTGCAGTTATTTTTAAAAGTAGGTAGATTCATCTAGGATTTGAGGTTTTGCAAGATAAGTATGTTAAAAGGATAAAAGAGAATTGGAATTTAAAATATTAGTAAAAGAGTGGTAAAAAAGATAGGCCGTGGAATCTAAGTCCATTAAAGGTAGATGAGAAAAGAGAAGGGAAAGTAATTTGGGAGAAAATAAAGAGGTTCATTACAATAAGTTTGCTTTTTGACCTCATTGATACCTTGTGCGAACAAGCTAAAAAGATAAGAGGCTGTGGTCAGAGAATGATAGAATGATTGATTTGAGAGGAGGAGCAGTTCTGGATAATGACAGTATTTAAGATCAGAGAATAACAGGTGAATGAGATTGTTTGAAGGAGAAAGCCACTGGAGATGAGTGCCTAAGAAATGGAGAGGAGAGGATTTTGAATGTTTCATCTATGTGATTTTTTTTTCATCTCTGTGAATATTGAAGTAACATAGATGGTGACAGAATTTGGAAGTGAGAGGAAAAGATTATGTAGAGTGTCCAGACGTTGATATATGATATATGCCATGGGTTACAAGGTGGTATAACTAGTTATAGCACAGATACTTTTGTAAGAGAATGGAAGAATAATGATGTAGATTTGGGATGGAGAAGGCACAGAGTCTCATCCCTCAAGTGCACTTGGATATGGAAAAAATGAGCAGTTTCTACTTCAGTTTTTTAAGAAGCAAGAGTTATTTTTAGGGTGATGCAATATTTTTGTTAAGACCAGGAAGAAACTAACAGTCAGTGAAGAAGTTGAGGACATAGGGGAGTTACGGGAGTGGGAGTTCCAGAGGAACTAGGAAGAATCTGAGGTCCAGAGAATTTAGGTAACTAGCACATGGATGATGTCTTTATAGGTCACAAAACTTATTTCAAATTCTAAAGTCACACAGCTAGAAAGTAGAAGAGCTCTGGATTTAAACCCAGTTTTGTCTGTTTCCGAAATCCATGCTTTTAACTGATATGACAGCTTATAGCAAGGAGTCATCCTGTGGCATAAGTTGTTTTTCTTGTCCTCAATACCATTTTTTTTTCTCAATACCATTTTGTAATCAAATTCTACCATATTATCCAAAACTAACCATCTGCTTTTGATTTTTCAATCTTCAAAGATAGAACTGCTGGCATTGGAGGATGCAGCCCTACAGTTTGTTCTGAAGTGTATTTCTCATTCTATAGTGTTTTTAAAGATTCCTTCTTTCTTATCTGGAAACATGTTGTTGAAATTGATAGTAAAAATTATTCAGAAAGTCTTTTGTATTTGCACAATACTTGTTTGGATGTCATTTCTTATAGAATTCTGTAAGACTAATATCTTCTGTCATGTCCTACTTATTTTGTAAGTAATATTTTATAATACAACAAGTATTGTATTAGGAGCTCTTTTTTAAAAAAATTATTTTTTGAGATAGAAAGAAAGCCCACATGTGCACAAGAGGGGGTGGGAAAGGGCAGAGAGAGGGAGAGAGAATCTTTGTTTTTTTTTTAAAGATTTTATTTATTTATTCATGAGAGACACAGAGAGAAAGGCAGAGACGCAGGCAGAGGGAGAAGCAGGCTCCATGCAGGGAGCCCAATGTGGGACTCAATCCCGGGACTCCAGGATCAGGCCTTGGGCCGAAGGCAGGTGCCAAACCGCTGAGCCACCCAGGGATCCCGGAGAGAGAGATTCTTAACCAAGCTCCATACCCTATGTGGGACTTGATCCCAGAAGCCTGAGATCATGACCTGAGCTAAAATCAAGAGTTGGATGCTTAACCCACTGGGCCACCCAGGCACCCCTGTATTAGGAACTTTAATGGTCACTTCCTTAGGGCTTTGGTGAATAAATAAGTTTGATGGGTTGTCTTTTGATCAGTTGAATATAATAAATTGCAATCTTAAAGATGGCCCATGTTTTGTAAAGAAAATACTTCTTTGCAAAGTATTCTTCTTGATGCCTATACTTATTTAGTATTTTTAAAATTAAAATGATTAGTGGATAATGTTTGGGAAGTTGATGCTGTTACTGACAAGAAGCCACAATACCTGTCTACATGGGCCTCTCCACATGGTTGCCTGTGTATTCTTATGATGTAGTGGCTAGTTCTTCCAAGTGTGAATGATCCAAGAGAGTAAGCAAAAGTGTCAGTATCTTTTGTGACCTTCCCTTGGTAGTCACACACTTGTACTTCTGCAATACTCTGCTAGTCATGTGATTTTGACCTGACATGAAGTCCTAATTTGAAAAGGGTCTGAATAGCAGGAGACAGATATCCTTGGAGCTGTCTCAGGGGTTCTTATGTAAGGGATTTGAATTTCTGAAAAGTGATATAATTCAGTGGTAAATTTAGCAAGTCATATTTTAGGAGAAAGATTACATTTTATGTTTGAATAAACCATAATTTATGGGGCATTTTTAAAGGGGCCAATAGTTTTTCCCATTTCTAAGCAGCTGTTACAAGTACAAACATGTTTTGTTCTTTGTTTTGCAGATTATTTAAAATATCTGACAATATACATGAGGGTGTTTATTCTAATGACAGTACAAACTTGGAGTCTTCTGTTGGCTCAGTGAAAATTGTCCCAACAGAAATGAACAAAGGGGAATCATGGAAATGTAGCAATAGTAAGCAGAAACATCAATATTCAGACATTAATATGTTTACAGCAAGCAATGCTGTTTCAGCTTCTGAAATCAGAGAAGACATATTCAAAGGACCAACTTTTTCAGTTGCATCCCAACCTCATGAAGTTCAAGGTAATTCCTTGCTTTTTCAGTTGGTTTTATAATGGTACAAACTGGTCTGAATTTTTCAGCATTAAGGAAGAATAAAAAAATAATAAATTTGAATAGGTTATCTGTGTAAAATTTCTGCATTTCTGATCATATTGCATTTTACAACTATGATCTAGGGTGCCTGATCTAGGGTCAGTTGGTAGAGCAGGGTCATGAGTTCAAGCTCTGTTTTGGGTATGGGGCCTACTTAAAAATACAAAATGAAATAACTATGATCTAAAATTTAACTGTGCTCTTAATAAAAAAGTTATACTAGTTTTATTGAACCAGTTTGCATGGGAGAGATTAAAAAATACCTGTATAAATTTGTTGAATTTTTTTTAGGGATAACAGAAAATGATTTAGATTCTTTGAAGGCTGTCACAGAAATCCGTATCCTTTAAATTATTTTACTACAGCAGCTTTATGTTTGAAATAAAAATTTGTAAGCATATTATTCCACTGTGCCTTTTTTTTTTTTTTGGTTGACAAAGAAAAAGAAGGAAAAGTGAATCTTTTGAATCATGTAAGAGATCCAGTGTGTGTGATTGTCAGTGCTATTCAATGTGTGGTCTGCAGACTGGTGCCAGTTTGTGAATTGGTTGTTACCAGTTTGTGATAAGATAAGTACAGAAATAAGATTTGAATTATTGGCTGAATTCTGAGCATATTTACTTACAAACAGATACAGATAATTTCTTACACTTTGGGTAAGGATAGCATATTTGGATAAACATGGGTAGTGGAAATAAATGAGAATGGGACATTATGTGGATTGGGAATTTTTTTAAGATTTTTATTTATTTATTCATTATATATATATATATATATATATATATATATATATATAGAGAGAGAGAGAGAGAGAGAGAGAGAGAGAGAGAGAGAGAGGCACAGAGGCAGAGGGAGAAGCAGGCTCCATGCAAGGAAGCCTGACGTGGGACTCGATCCCAGGTTTCCAGGATCACGCCCTGGGCCGAGGATGGTGCTAAACCGCTGAGCCACCCGGGATGCCCGGATTGGGAATATTTTTACAAATCTAGGAATTTTTAAAAGAAATTTGCAGTTTATACCTATAATCTGATTTACATGTCTGGGCATTCCAATATAAATATTTTGAGTATGTATGTGTGTTTTGGAGGTAACATCCTCTTTGCTTTTTTGATGCCCTGTGTATGTCTATAACATAGTGTACTTACTGGTTTTTTATTATAATCCAGCAGCTATGACTATTATGTGACCATTTCCCTGTGACCTATGAACTCCTTGAAGGGAAGGGCCACTCCTTATTTATCTTCCTATCTCTGAAGACACTGAAAGGCAGGTAAAGGAAGCTGTTCTGGCAAAAGAGTCAAGCTGGGGGTAAAATAGTGTGGAATATGTTAGAAAGAACCAGCATCCCAGTTTAGCTGAAATAAGAGCTATGATTACAGGGGTAGTAGGAAATAATGTTTGATGATCCTAACATTAATATCTTAGGATCAGGCTATTTAATGCCATGGATTCCAAAGTCTGGAGGTTTTTTTAATTTATTAAGCAATGAGGAGAAATCATGCAGTATTTTTGAGCAGATCCAAGTTATATCATCAAAACCATGCTTTAGGAATGTGGAATTAATGACTCAAAGCTGGGGAAAGCTCTAGGCTCCACCAAAGTTATTGTCTAGTTGGCAAAACAGAAAATAAATTCCAAATATTGGGTAGCTTAGCTGGAGGAATCTAGGGAAGAGTGATTCTAATCCTGTGTACTCAGGGGACTGAGATAATTCTGAGGTATGGTTAGAAGATATTTACCTGAGCAATCATGAAAATTTGCCTCCAGTGCAGATAACTGAACTAAGTTAGAATGGAAGGAGAGAACAATAAAGGGCTATAGATGATGATATCATAACTTCAGATATAATCAGCTTTTAGTGCTTCTCTTCAGCATGGTGTCTCAATTTTGCTGTATTTTCTTCTCTCTGGTAATCTAAATACAGTTGGAACATAGGAAATAGGTTAGCCTTAACCAGTTAAAAGTTATTTTCATTATCTGTGTGATGAGAAAGGCTTCTTATCCCTTACTGGAACTTGCCGTAATATGACAGTAACTTTTGAAGAGTTTTAAATATTTTCATGCTATATTAGCACAGCTGAAATGGTTCTATTGTTTAGGTCTCTGTTAGTTAAGACTATTGCCTACTCTTGTGTGCATTGATTTATTGTCCAAAATGTTCATTTGCTGTCAAACTCACAGAACTGCTGCTCTTTATTATTTCTAAGTCTGTATTTAAAGTGGAAGACTAGGAGCGCCTGGGTGGCTCAATTGGTTAAGCATATTTTTGGGTCATGATCTTAGGTCCTGAGGTCTAGTCGTCACTTAGGACTCCCTGCTCAGCGGGGAGTCTGCTTCTCCCTCTGCCCCTCCCTGTTGCTTGTGCTCTCTCTCAAATAAAAAAATAAAAATTTAAAAAAGAAGTAAATAAAGTGGAAGATTAAATACTTTTCATGATAATTTGAGAGTTTTGGAATTACTTGGACACAACATATATTCTGATTCTTTTATGGTATTTTACTATATTTGAATCCTCAGGATACTAGAAGCTTGGTCAGTTTGATTTTGCTATAGTAGTCTTGTCATTTTCAATTCTACAGACATTTTCCTACCTGTTATAACATATAATTGCAGTGACACTGCTGAGAGTTTGTTGAATGAAAGGAAAAACTTGATATCAAGTGTTTATAGTGATGATAAATGATGTTAGTAGTTGAGTTTTCTCATGAGCTGGAAAACTAATTCTACATCTACTCTGAATCAAAGATTCATTTTTGTGAATGTAAATTGATGTGGAACTAGCTAATGAGACAAAAACCAGCATGATGGCTCACTTGCGGGCTTGTTACAAATAAATATTTTATAGGAAGAGACATATTTTGAAGGAAAAATGAGATTCTTTCAAAAGCTTGATGGATTGACAAACTCAAAATTACACTTTTGTTTTGGCACAAATATTCTGATACTCTGTACAACTGAAAGTAAAATGAAGATTTGTATATTATCTACTTGATTTAATAAATGCAAACATATTAATTGAGTGCTTACTGTGTGCTAGGCACTGTTCTAGGTACTTGGGATATGTCAGTTAAGGAAACAGACAATGAATCCTTGCCCTTGAGGAGTTAACATTCTTGGGTTAGGTATGGGGAAGAAGATAGATCTGAACAATTGTAACAGTGTATAAATAAGTCATATAGTATGTTAGAAGGCAATGAATAATATGGAAAATAAAAAAAGTGGAGCAGAAGTAAGGGATATTAAATTGGGGATGCTATAATTGGGGGCTCAGGTTTAGAATTAAGTAGAGTAATTTGGGTAGGTCTTCTTGAAAAGAGATGTAAGCAATTGAAGGAAGTGAAGGAAATGAGGGAAGCAGTCTAGGCAGAGGGAAGGCTTTACAGCAGGAACATGGCCAGTGTTTTTGAAGAACAGAAAAGAGGCCGATATAGCTAGAGGATATTAGTCAGAGGCAAGATTAGTGGGACCTGAGGTCAGAATCACAAAAATGTAGGGGGAGAGGCAAGATCATGTAGGTCCTTGTAGCCATATGCTTTGAGACAAAGTAGGGAATTGTTCTCATTTAATTTTTTAACAAGATCACTTACTAAAGTCCATCAGTCTTTGTATATGTTCATACAAATGTAATTGCTTAAACAATTATGTATTTGAATTCTCAGATATATTGTTTTATGTTTCCTAATAGAATAAAATAACTTCCATTGTAAGAACTCATCTTCTTCTTTACAGCTTCCCATAGCTTTCCAAATCCAGTAATGTATTTTGTATATAGTGTTTAATAACTGTGGTTGATAATTGTGACTCAGACTAAGAAGAATACCATGTAAGTACAAATATTTCCTGAGCTGACAATGGACTCTCAGCTTGGAGAGGGGACAACTTATTCTTCATATATATTAATATTTTTGAGCTTTCTTATAGAGGAAGGACAGTTTAAGGTCTTATAGAGCCAATATGCTGATAATTGCAATTAAATCCACCACTTAGTACAACTAAATTATTGAAAACAAAGCATTTCAGGATTAGGTGACCAGAAACACACATCAGCTAATGAAACACAATCAACAGTTAAAATGTGAAATTTGGAACTTTAAAGAAGATATAAAAATCAAATGGCCTACTCAACATGAATAAAAAAATACTCTTCAAAAGATAAATTATACACTTAGTTTTGAAATACTGGCACATATGCAAGTTTCTACATCTTTTCCGTCAGATTTATTTATTTATTTTAAACATTTTATTTATTCATGAGAGACAGAGACGGAGAGGGAGAGAGAGAGAGAGAGGCAGAGACACAGGTAGAGGGAGAAGCAGGCTCCATGCAGGGAGCCCGACGTGGGACTCGATCCTAGGTCTCCAGGATCACGCCCCGGGTAGGCTCCATGCAGGGAACCCAATGTGGAACTTGATCCTAGAACTTCAGGATCATGCCCTGGGCCAAAGGCAGGCACTAAAACACTGAGCCACCTAGGGATCTACTCCATCAGATTTTATTGTCAAATTATAACCCTTGTATAAACCTTGTCTCCACATAGGGATTTTACAGATTTTTTCAGAATATGGAGTGTTACTGGGGACTGTGATAATTTCTGTTAATTTCTCTCCCCTCCTGGCTTTATTGAGGTATAATTGACAAATAAAATTTGAATGTACTATATCAGATGTACATGATAATTTGACGTACATATGCATTGCAATAAGTTGCCACCATTAAGTTAGTTTCCACTCTCCATCACCTCTCTTTCTCTTTCTAATTGATTTTGCATAATGTCCTTCAGGTTCATCCAATTTGTCAAAAAAAAAAAAAAAAGAAAGAAAGAAAGAAAAGAAAGGCAGAATTCCCTTCCATTTTTAAGGCAGAATAATATTTCAGTGTGTGTGTGTGTGTGTGTGTGTGTGTGTGTGTGTGTGTTTCACATTTCCTTTATCCGTTTGTCTCTTGACAGGCACTTAAGATTGTTTCCATACCTTGGTTATTGTGAATAATGCTTCAGTGAAACAAAGGATTATAGTCATTTGAGATACTGATTTTGTTTCCTATGAGTATATATCCCTAGGAGCACCTGGATGGCTCAGCCCATTTAGTAACTGACTCCTTATCTCAGCTCAGATCTTGATCTCAGAGTTGTGAATTCAAGCCCCACATTGAATATGTACCCAGAAGTGTAATTGCTAGATCATAACCTCCAGCTGTTTTCCATAATGGCTGTACCCCTTTACATTTCCTACCAACAGTGTCTAAGGGTTCCCTTTTCACCACATCCTCACCATATTTATCTTTTTTTTTGATAAATTCATATCCTACCAGATGTGAGGTAATATCTCATTGTGGTTTTAATTTGCATTTCTCAGATGATTAGTAACATTGAGCATCTTTTCATGTACTGTAGGCCATTTGTGTTTTCTTTGGAAAAATGTCTATTCAGGTCCTTTGCCCATTTTTAAATTGGATTATTTTGGACCACATATATAGACCCCCAACCTTTAAAGCTCCCACCCAGGGGATAAACCCCCCAAACACCCAACTCCATAAGCCAACAGGACTTGGATTTATGAGACCCAAAGGACTATAGCAAACAAACAGTTCTTACATGGGCACAGGAACAACCCCTCTTCCTCTGCAGGTATACATTGAGGCTCAATGCAGAGGGAGCAGCATGCCCAGACATGTAAATCAGATTATAGGTATAAACTGCAAATTTCTTTTCAAAAAATATTAGATTTGTAAAAATATTCCCAATCCACAGAGTGTCCCATAATTGGATTATTTGGGGGGTTTTTGGTTATTGAGTTGTATGAGTTCCTTGGATATTTTGGATATTAAAGTGTGATGCCTCTGGATTTGTTGTTCTTAAGATTGCTTTGGCTATTTGGGGTCTTCTGTAGCTCCATATGAATTTTAGGATTGTTTTTCATATTTCTCTGAAAAATGCAGTTGGAATTTTGATAAGGATTACATTGAATCTGTAAATTTCTTTGGCAGTTTACAATTTAGCGATATCGATTCTTGAATCCTTAAACATGGAATATCTTTCCATTTTTTTGTGTCTTCAATTTCTTTTATCAGTGCCTTATAGTTATTGGTTAAATTTACTTGTTAGCATTTTATTTTTAATGCTACATTGGATGGTTAACTTTATTCCTTGGTATTTTATTTTTTGATGCTATTGTAAATGAGATGGTTTTCTTCATTTCTTTTTTTGGTATTTTGTTGTTAGTGTATGGAAATGCAGCTGATTTTTGTATATTAATTTTGTGTCCTGCAACTTTACTGAATTTGCATATTAGTTCTAACAGTTTTTTGGTGAAGTATTAGGATTTTCTATATATAATATGTCGTCTATGGATAGAGACTTTTATTTCTTCTTTTTCAGTTTGGGTACCTTTTATATCTCTTTCTAGCCTAATTGCTGTGGTTAGGATTTCCACTAATAGTTGAATAAAAGTGGTGGAAGTGGACATACTTGTTCCTAATCTTAGACAGAAATGTTCAGCTTTTTGCCATTGAATATGATGTAAGCTATGAACTTGTCATATATGGCCTTTATTATATTGAGGTACATTCCTTTTTAACCCAGTTTCTGGACAGTTTTTATCATGAAAAGATATTGTATTTGTCAAATGCTTTTTCTGCATCTAATGAGATGATCATATGGTTTTTATCTTTAACCTTTTTTTAAAATAAGCTCTGTGCCCATTGTGGGGCTTGAACTCATGACCCTAATATCAGGAGTCTCATGCTCTACTGACTGAGCAAGCCAGGCACCCCTAATCTTTAACTTTTTAACGTGAGAGTATCATGTTGATTGATTTGCGGGTGTTGAACCATCTTTATATTCCAGAAATAAATTCCATTTGATCATAAGTGTATGACTGTTTTAATGTACTGTTGAGTTTAGTTTGCTAATATTTTGTAGAGCATTTTTGCATCTGTGTTCATTAGTGATACTGTCCTGTAATCTTCTTTTCTTGTAGCATTCTTATCTGGTTTTGGTATCAGTTTAAAATAAATCCCTTAAGTCATCTTCATTTTTTTTTTAAATTCTTTTTTCATTTTGTTCCTCTGACAGGATTAAGTCCATTGCCCTATCTTTAAGTTCAGTGGTCCTTTCTTCTGTTTGATTTGTCTGATGCTGAATCCCTCTATTGAGTTTTTCAGTTCATTTATTATAGTCATTAGCTCTATGATTTCTGTTTGGTACATTTTTATAACTTGTATGACTTTGTTGAAATTCTTTTTTTTATAAATTTTTATTTATTTATGATAGAGAGAGAGAGAGAGAGAGAGAGAGAGAGAGAGGCAGAGGGAGAAGCAGGCTCCATGCACTGGGAGCCCGATATGGGATTCGATCCCGGGTCTCCAGGATCGCGCCCTGGGCCAAAGGCAGGCGGCAAACTGCTGCGCCACCCAGGGATCCCCTTTGTTGAAATTCTTACTTTGTTTATGCATTGCTTTCCTGACCTTAAGGAGCATCTTTATGCATTATTTAAAAATATTTGGTAAATTAAATCACTTACCTCTATTTCATTTAGTTTGGTTTCTGGAGATTTATCCTGTTTTTTGTTTGAAACATATTCCCATTTCTTAATTTTTTTTAACCCTCTGTTCTGGTTCCAGACATTAGATAAAACATCCACCTCTCCCAGTCTTGACAGACTGGTCTTGTATAGGAGATGAGCCTCATCAGTTAACCTAGCCCAAGATCCTAGTTTTCTTTAAAACCTTTCTGACTGCCTAACTCACTGTCTTAGTTCTTAGTTGCTTCTAATAGTTGTGCCAAAACTTATCAATGTCCAAAAGGAGAGGGTTGTAATCAGCACCTAGGTGCAGGCTAATTAGAAGCCAGAACCTGAGATAGCAGCTGAGAAAGTATGAAGTGAAATCCTTTCCAGGTAGAAACTGGAGATGAACATTTTTTGCTGCTCCCTCTGCATTGAGCCTGAATGTATACCTGCAAAGGTAGAGGGGTTGTTCCTGCGCCCATGTAAGAACTGTTTGTTTGCTATAGTCCTTTGGGTCTCATAAATGCAAGCCGTGTTGGCTTATGGAGTTGGGTGTTTGGGGGGTTTATCCCCCGGGTGGGAGCTTTAAAGGTTGGGGCTCTAGATATGTGGTCCAAAATCTTTGCTCCTCAGGGAGAAGCTGGGAGTTGGGAGTTCCTTCTTAATTGTATGATGCTGTGCCAAGGATGGGATTTAGGGTAACAGTTGTCTCAGTCTTTCTTACCCATTTCATTGGGAATATTTTCATTTACCCAATGTGTAGGAGTCAGTGAATTTCTGGATTTTTCTCAGAATTGCTCCTTGTATAGTTGTATTTTTGGTGCATCTGTGGGAGGAGGGAAAGTTCAGGAGCTTCTTATATTGCCACATTGGTCTGTCTCTCTATTAATTCCTTTCTTGTGATGTTAAAACAGCAAGTATTAAAGCCTCATCATTAAGTATTATCACAGTTAATATTAATTAATTGAATTTTTAAATTAAAAGTAACCAAAAATACATAAATTAATTAAAAGTAACCAATTCTTAAAATTGTGAAATATTTGACTCCTTAATGCTATTCTAAGCGGCAAAATTTAGAAGTATTTTCAAAGAATTCCCATATTTCAACTATATACAGTCCAAAGCCTTTGATGATGTAAGTATTTTATTATGATTTTTACTTATCTGCCTCTTCTAATTTGATTGTGTGTTCTCTAAGGGTAAGGACTAGATCACATTCATCTTTCTGTTTCCAATGCCACGTGCAGTGACTGGTACATTGTAGGAACTCAAAAAAATGTTTGCTAAATGAAATCATGTGTCTTTCATAGGTGGGCTTGTTTATATTTATTAGATTTATAAAATTTCTTTCAAAGCTAAATAAATTATTATTTTCTTCTAGCCTAACAATTTACTTTCACAAATAAAGCAAAATGAAAAATTATTAGTAGTTTTTTTTTTTTTTTGAGGGTTGTGGATCCAAGCAAGGTTAGAATTTTAATAAGTTTAAAGGTAAAAATAATTTGAATTCTTCTTCCGGAGTCTTTCTTACATATTTTCTATGAGAAAATTGAGAGTGTGAATGAAAAATGCTATATATTCCATGATTTATTAAATTTTATTTAAAAAGTTTTTTTTTAATTTTTTAGCTTCTTTACACAGATAGGAATTTTGTGATTTGTGCTCCAACTGGTTCTGGGAAAACTGTGGTGTTTGAACTAGCTATAACAAGATTGTTAATGGAAGTACCATTGCCATGGTCAAACATAAAAATTGTTTATAGTAAGTATTTATATATTGTAAGAGTAATTAATTACAGTAATGCAAAAACATTGAGGCAAAGTAAGAAATTTGAATTCGAGCCATAGGAATTAATATTTGGTTCTCCATATATTTTTAATGAAGATCACATTTGCTTTTGTCTGTTATATTAAATTCAAAACACATTTTCCCTGAGTTGTAAATAAAAACTAGTATTTGAATTGAGAATTTGACTTTTACATGTTTATTTTTTAAAGGACAACAAGAAAAATAAATTCAAACATTTTGTAATTCTAAAAAATTTTCATGGGAACCTCTCCTCTCTTTTCTTAGGTATATATATTTTAAATTTTTCATCAAAGTAGTTTTTGTACATGGTTAAAAAATATATTATCACGAAAAGGCTTATAATGAAGATCAGTAATCTGCTTTACATCTCTGTGCTTTTAGTTATAATACCCTGAACATTTACTTCTTTTTCTATTTTTAGTTCAGTCCGGTGATTATATTTGTATCTCTAAGTAATATGCTTATATTAACTCTTTCAATTTATAAATATTAGGCAGTTCCTAGATGTATAGTTTTATCCTATTTTTATTAACCAGTGTTTGTGAAAGTAATTTTAAAGTTGTACTGACATTCAAAATAAATATCTTCTATTGTTATAGTGGCACCAATAAAAGCCCTGTGTAGTCAGCGTTTCGATGATTGGAAAGAAAAATTTGGACCAATAGGATTGAATTGTAAAGAACTCACTGGAGATACAGTAATGGATGACCTATTTGAGATCCAACATGCCCATATTATTATGACAACTCCAGTAGGTGTTATTTATACTCTATTATTTCCTTCATTCATTAGAAAATATCTTTCTCTTCACCAAGAATAAAAGTTAAAAGAAAATACAAAGTAGAAGAATGTATTTGCGATGTAAAAAACAAACATGAAAAACCTAGTGTTCAGGTTATATAAAGAGTATTTACTAATCAGTAAATAAAAGACAAATTACCAAATGGGAAACAGGCAAAAGACATGAACAGGCAATTCATTATTGAGAATAATTTGTAATCATACTTTTTGCTTGTACTCTTTTATCCAAGTTTTAATGTATTACAGAGCGAGGACCTTTGTAGGACTTAAAAAAGGTAATTAGACTATAATTTCGTATATTTTTGGTTAAACTTAAAAATAAATAGGGGTTTTGTTTTTGAAGCACTTGTAAGACTATCAGAATCCTTTAAAATGTTTTTAATCTTTAAATCTTTTTCAGGATACTTTTAAGACATGAATTAAAATATTGCCCATTGTTTATATCATGTTAAAATTTTTATTGATATCTTAATATTTATTATAATTTCCTACCATGTTAAACCAGTTGTATTTTTTTCTTTAGGAAAAATGGGATAGCATGACTAGGAAATGGAGAGACAACTCTTTGGTCCAGCTGGTTAGACTCTTTCTCATTGATGAGGTAGTGAACACATTACTTATTTCCAGAGATAAATGTAAAATGGTGATTAGAATGGATAGAAAGAAATGACATTTTCAACCAAACTGTGTCTTTGTTTTATCCCTTCAAGTGGAAAGGCTTATTTTCTTAAAGAATAATGTTAATATTATTATGGATTTTAATTGATTAAATAGTTTTTAATTTTTATAGCCAATCATTTTTTTCTTGATTTCTTACTTAGGTACATGTTGTAAAAGATGAAAATCGTGGACCAACTCTTGAAGTTGTAGTCAGCAGAATGAAAACTGTACAGTCTTTATCTCCTCCTTCAGAAAATAGCACAGTTATTCCAATGAGATTTGTAGCTGTGTCTGCAACAATTCCAAATGCTGAGGATGTAAGTTAGAATTTTAGTCTACCAGATTTTTTTATGACTGGTGAAATATTTTGTCATTTAATTCTAGAGGAAAGTGAGGATTTTTTTTTCCTGTAAATCCTATAACCAATTTAATAGGAAAGTATGTTGTAGAAAGTTCTGGTTAGATCTCATAGGTGTGGCAGTATTAGGTCTTAATATTTGGTTGATTTGGTTTAATGAAACGTTTTTGGTACAAGTGTGTTGTTTACTAGTATCTAAGAGTCTTGGCTTTTATGGGTTTCAGATATCTCATAATAATGTGACTAATAATTTGTTATGGTTGTTTTAATCAGCTGACTCTAGCTGTATATCAAAGTATGGTGGAAAATGAAAATAATTGCTTAAGTGATTACCACCCACCTTTCCATATTCTATGTGACGTGTTATGGTAAGCACTAATGATAGGTACAAAAGTGAAAATAATTGTATTCAGTATTATACTTGCTATAATAAATATGTGTCTTAATTTTTTTCTTCAATATTTGGGTAAACTTAAAAAATAGTACAGTTTCATTGTTTCTCACTCCTATTTACTTCTCAGCCTAGTATGACGTTTTTCTCCTACTACTTAGAAATTTGACAAATAGTTCCCATATTGTCTAATCCAATGGAAAATTATGCCTTTATCTTTAATTTGGCAAAAGTAATCATTCATTTATAGTTCTTAAGTTGACAGCTTGTTTTGTTCATATTCAAGAATATACTTGATCTCTATACTCAAAAAACTATAAGTATTTTGAGTATATATGATCAACAGAAACCTAGTGTTTATCTTTCCAGACGTATTGGTGAAATCATATTATGCATGCTCTTTATGACTTGCATGTCACCTACAGACATTTCCATGTCCTTAGATACTCTTCTTTAGTACAACTTTTGTGGGTTTATTATGATTTATTTATCTAATGCTTTAATGATGAAAGATTGTTTCCATTTTTGCTATTGTAAATGGTGCTAAACCTAATAATATCTTTGAAAACATCATGATAGGGGCGTCTGGGTGATTCAGTCGGTTAAGCGTCTGCTTTGGGCTTAGGTCATGATCCCAGAGTCTCGGGATTGACCCCTGCATTGGGCTCCCTGCTCAGCGGGGAGTCTGCTTCTCTTTCTACCTCTCACCCTGCTCTCATGCCCTCTTTCTCTCTAAAATAAATAAATAAAAATTTTTTAAAAATCATGATTATTTCTCTAGGATGAACTTCTAGAGTGAAATAACTGAGTCAAAGGATATATAAAACTCTAAGGACACAGTGGTTTTAATAAATGGTATAGTCATTTATACTTCCATCCTCAGCCATTTCTCTGTATTCTAACACTGGGTTTATAACAAATTATTGTTATTATTACATTTAAATAGTTGTTGGGGTGCCTCAGCTGGCTCAGTCAGGTAAGCATCTGCCTTTGGCTCGGGTCATGATCCTGGGATCCTGGAATCCTGCCCTGCATCATGCTCCCTGCTCAGTGGGGAGTCTGCTTCTCCCTCTGCTCCTCTCCCCACTCGTTCTCTCTCTCTCTCCCTCTCATAAATAAGTAAAATTTTTTGAAATAAATAGCTGTCAAATTTCTTGTTTAAAATACACTTTATTTTAAAATTTGTACTGCTTTGATTTTTACTGAAGGGAGTATTTTTAATATATTAATCAACATTTTTGCACCTTGCCAGGTCACGTTCTTTACCCTTTTTTTCACATTGGGATAATAAACTTTTCTTATTGATTTGTAAGCAGTCATTAAATATCAATATTCTGTAATTCTTGAAATTCTTTTCCCATTTTTGATAATAACTACATCTGTGAATGCTACTTTCCTGTCTCTTTATACAAATCCTCTTCCTCAATTTTCTCCTAAATGAAGGTTTTCACTCTTAGCCTTTTGCTCCTTTCAGATTAAACTCTTGTGTGATCTTATTTGCATACATGATAGCCTTGAAAATATTTTAATATTTCCATCCCCTGCAACTATAAACTCATTAATCCATCTTCCTGTCAAAGCAATGGTCAGTTGCAGAGCAGGGCATGAAGCCTGATTACTAACCAGGTTATAAGAAAAGAATTGCTCGGCATAGCTTCAGAAATTAACAAGTGGCTCCAGCACTGAGTCTGAAATATGCTTTCGACACTCCCATCTCTCAAGATTTATTTGCCCTTTGTTTAAAAATTTTGTCAACCCTTGCCAGTCTAAGCCAACCATAACTTTGTTACTGTTTGGCTATTATTTAGCACAATTCAAAAGATGTGTCATGCATATTTAAGTCATAGTTCTGAAAAATAGGAAGGTTATAATGATAATGACAAATTCAGTTTTTCTGCAAAATCAATCTTAATTTTATTTTGGGCTCTTAGGAAAATAAAACAAAATAATTGGGAGTTTACCATGTTGAAAAGTGGGTATAACCTAAAATACTGCTACTGATAATATTTACCAATATATCAATAGAATAGTGTCCCTGGAATATGTAACACTGAAAAAGACTACTTGATTGTTTTTATACCTTGACTTTAAGTAGTCTACTATTGAGTTATTTTTAATCATAAAACTTGTCTAGAAAAAACTTTTAATGTATGTTTCTGTTATTTAAAGATTGCAGAATGGCTTTCAGATGGTGAAAGACCTGCAGTATGTTTGAAAATGGATGAGAAACATAGGCCAGTGAAACTTCAGAAAGTGGTCCTTGGATTTCCCTGTGGAAGTAACCAAACTGAATTTAAGTTTGATTTAACCCTCAACTACAAAATTGCTGGTGTTATACGAACATACTCTGATCAGAAACCCACACTTGTGGTAAGGATTGTTTGTTGCTTATTTTTAGCATAATGCTCAGTTTTTAATATGACTAATCCAAGAATTATTCATTTATTTTCAGTTTTGTGCAACAAGGAAAGGTGTGCAACAGGCTGCTTCTGTTCTAGTGAAAGATGCCAAATTTATTATGGCTGTGGGACAGAAACAGAGGTATATTTTCTCTTTTTTGTTATTGGAGTTAAGAAGACTTTTAGGGATTATCTAGATGAGATGAGAAAACTGGGTTCATTCCTTCACCTTTTCAAGTTATTCACCCTCTGTAAGCAGAGATGGGATTTCAAAAACCAATTGACCAGGTTGTTATAAAACTAGTAATAGTATAAATGTAAACTGGAATTTAAAAAAAAGTGTAAGTATAAAGAGACTGTAAGTAGCACTGAGTAATGTGGAATCTTCTACTTGGGTGAATAAATTAGTTGATCAAGTTGGGCCATGTCACTTTCAGTCAGAAACAGATGTGGTTGTCAAGAAGTAAGGCTTGTTTTCTTGCTCGAACACTAACACTGAAGGAAATTTTTAAAAACTTATAGAATCCTTTGTGTAATGGTGGCATCCTTCATATAGAATGACTATATACCTCCCAAGATAAATACTTAAATAATTAGTATTTTGAACCTGAACCTTCCAGAGTAAGGAGCTGAAATAGCTAACCTGTATGTACCCTTAAAACTAATTTCCATTTCATCCTCTTTCTTTTCTCCTGTTGTCTGCTGCACCCAAATTAGCTAATTTTGTTTTAGATAATAATTTTCTTTCTTTGTTTTTTTAAACATTTTATTTATTTATGAGAGACACAGAGAGAGAGAGAGAGAGAGAGAGGCAGAGACACAGGCAGAGGGAGAAGCAGGCTCCATGCAGAGAGCCCAGCGTGGGACTCGATCCGGGTCTCCAGATCAGGCCCTGGGCTGAAGGTGGCACTAAACCGCTGAGCCACCTGGGCTGCCCCTAGATAATAATTTTCTTATATAGATTTATCATACTTCTCCTTTTCTCATTTCCCATTCTTACCTACTCAAGGAAAATTTCTGGTCTTTCAACTCTTTCTTCACTCTTTGTCTCTCCTTTTTTTTTTCTTTATCCCCCCTTTTTTTTCTTTATCCCCCTTTTTTATTCCTGTTTTTCTAGAAGTGAAATGCTGATATTAGAAACAGCATGAGAGGCACCTGAGTGGTGCAGTTGGTTGAGCGACCAGCTGTTGGTTTTCACTCAGGCTGTGATCTCTGGTTGGTGGGATGGAGCCCCCATCAGCCTCTGAGTCTACTTGGGATTCTCTTCTCCTGTCCCTTTGCCCCCACCCCCACCCCCTGCCCTCTCTCTCTCTCAAATAAATTAATTAATTAAAAAAAATGAAATAACATTAAGTTAAAGACCATGATTTGGGTTGTAGTGCTGCCATTTTACTAGCCGTGTACCTTTGGGCACATTACTTCTCTGTTTCAATTTCTTAATCAGGGTGGGATAGTATGGGAATCAACTATCTGTATCACCATATTATTGTGAGAATTAAATAAAGCAACATTTCTAAGACACCTAACAGTGTGTAGCACAGAGTTTGTATCTAATACCAATATGTCTTTTCCTCTTGCCTTCTCTTCATTACATCATGAATCCTTTAAAAAATTGTGAATGTTGGGGATCCCTGGGTGGCTCAGAGGTTTAGTGCCTGCCTTCAGCCCTGGGTGTGATCCTGGAGTCCTGGGATTGAGTCCCACATCCGGCTCCCTGTGTGGGGCCTGCTTCTCCCTCTGCCTGTGTCTCTACCTCTCTCTCTGTGTCTCTCATGAATAAATAAATAAAATCTTTAAAAAAATTGTGAATCTTATATTTAAAATAATGCCTGTTAGTGTCATATCTGCAATAAGGAAATGGAAAAACACAGATTTGGTGGTTCTTAGACATAATTAAAAACTAAGCCTACTAACCTCCAAAATCTTCTAAAGTACCCCAAATTCCTTTTCAGATTGTCAAGAAACTCTCTTAACTTCCTCATCTCTTGATTTAACATGGTTTTCTTTCTTTCATATCTTGGAATACAATAAACAACTATTTCTAATTTTGTCTTTTCTGGTTTATTTACTAGTGGTATTATAGGGGTTTAAAAATTGTTATTCCCTACAAGTCTTTTCTGGTTAATTTTCTTGTGATATTATAGGGGTTTAAAAATTGTTATCCCCTACAAATATTTTTCAGGCAAATTATGTGAGTAGATATATTCTGACCCATGAATATAATCACCATTTGCTTTTTTTCTGGTGGAATATGAGTTTTCCAAATTCCTGATTTAAAAATGAGCTTCAGGGGCACCTGAGTGGTGCAGTCAGTTAAGCGTCTGACTCTTGGTTTCAGCTCAGGTAGTTACCTCAGGGTTGTGAGATCAAGCTCCATGTCAGGCTCAGTGCTCAGTGCAGAGTCTGCTTAAGATTCTCCCTTTCCCTCTGCCCCCTCCCCTCACTCATGTGCTGTCTCTCACTCTCAAATAAATGGATAAATCTTTAAAAAAATAAATAAAAAATAAAATTGAACTTCAGTGTCACAGCTGATAAATTAGGGACTTTTTTTTTTTTGTACCCTTTTGCCAAACTTTTCCTAATTCCCTCAACTTCAGCTCCTGGTAACCACTTTTCTACTCTGTTTCTGGTTCAGTTTTTTTTTTTTTTAATTCCACATATAAGTGATACCATACATACCTTTCTTTTTTTAGCTAATTTCACTTAGCACAATGTTCACTAGCTTCATCCATGTTGTCAAATAAGGCAGAATTTCCTTCTTTCTTAAGATTGAATATTCCCGTGTGTGTGTATGTATCAGGTGTTCTTTATCCATTCATCTGTCTCAGAGACTTAAGTTGTTTCTATATGTTGTCTAGTCCGAATAATGTTGCAATCAACTTAGGAGAGAGATATCTCTTTGAGATACTGATTTTGTTTCCTTTGGAATAATCCAGAAGTAGAATTGCTGCATGATGTGGTAGTTCTATTTTTAATTTTTTGAAGAATCTTCATACTGTTTTCTATAGTGGCCATACTAGTTTACTCTTCCCACCAACAGTGCACAAAGGCTCTTTTTTTCTATATCCTTGCTAGCAGTTGTATCTCCTGTCATTTTGGTACTAGCCCTCCTAACAGGTAGGAGATGATAGCTCATTGTAGTTTTGATTTGACTTTATTGCCTGATGATTAGTGATGTGGGCACCCATCGTGTATAGTTGGCCATTTGTCTATCTGTTCTAGAAAAATGTTTATTCAGGTCCTTTGCCCATTTTTTTTAAAGATTTTATTTATTTATTTATTTATTTATTTATTTATTTATTTATTTGAGACAGAGAGAGAGGCAGAGACGTAGGCAGAGGGAGAAGCAGGCTCCATGCTGGGAGCCCGATGCAGGACTCGATCCCAGGACTCCAGGATCACACCCTGGGCTGAAGGCATGGGCTAAACTGCTGAGCCACCCAGAGATCCCCCCCTTTGACCATTTTAAAATTATTTCTTGTTTTGTTTTGCTGAGTTGTAAATTTAGGGACTTCTGAGTATAAAGTTAGATATTTGCTACTTCTTAAAGGTGATTTTCAAACAATGATATTGTGAAAAAATTTTAGTATCTGTCGTTTCAAAATAATTAATAAACTAAGAGTTTTTATGTTAATGGGAATAACTCTTAATAATGTTATGGTATTTTTAAAACAGGTTACAGAACTATGCATATTCCATAAGAGATTCAAAACTGAGAGGTAGGTTTAGAGATTATTTTAAATAGCATTTTCAACTATGCATAAAAGGAGTCAATTATAGATGAAACATTAACAGCATATAACAGATGATGTATTTGTATTATAGATATCTTAATACATGGTGTTGCTTATCATCATGCTGGTATGGAGCTGTCAGATAGAAAAGTAGTTGAAGGAGCTTTCACTGTTGGAGATCTACCAGTTCTTTGTAAGTTAAACCTATTTTTGTGGCTATTATAAGATATTTTGGAAAACTATTTACTTGTTAAGAGGAAAAAAGAAAAAGCAAGTATTCTGACTTATTTCTGCTTTTCTTTCAAGAATCTAAAATTACATAACTACCCATGCATATACATGCTACAGTAAACTCTTCAGCAGTTTTAATTCTTTATTATGCTGCTGAATACAATGCTACCTGAAAAGTAAGAATTTAATAGTTTTTTGGTTTTAAGATGTGTTATTATTTTACATTGTAATGTTCTTTTCCTCTTTTTTCTTAAATTTCCTATGTATGAGTTTTTATTATAAGAATATGTATTTTATAAAAATATGTCTACCTGAAGCAATAAAGTTATATGGCTTCAAAGTAATTATTTCTTACTCTGATGCAGTTACCACCAGTACTTTAGCTATGGGAGTAAATTTGCCAGCTCACCTAGTAGTTATAAAATCTACAATGCATTATGCTGGAGGAATGTTTGAAGAATACAGTGAAACAGATATTCTACAGATGATTGGTAGAGCTGGTCGACCTCAAGTAAGTGACAATATTTTATTTTTGTAACTTGTTTTAAAATAAGCTAAAAAGCAAAAACTTTTTTGTGTACTTTTTGTTAAGTAGGAGATTAACATTTCATACTCAGATTAGGTTTAAAAATAAGTGCAAATCCATTTTAGTGGAGAAAAAGTAAAACAAGTCTCACCAAAGGAGACATACTGCCTATACTCTAATTTTCCCTTGGCTGATGGTTAGGGTGATGAATGTGTATATGCTGTCCAAAGGGTTTTTTTGGTTTTGAAATTATTTTGATTTTTGTTTTGTTTTTTTGTTCTGAATGGGGATGCTATGTACATTTTAGATGGGACAGTATTTCATTGTGTAGGGCTGACATACATTGCAGAATGTGTAGCATCCCCAAGTCTTAGCACAAAATGCCAATAGTGGTCCCCAGGTATTGACCCCTAAATATTAGCCCATATACATTACAAAATATGTCCTACTCTAGCAAATATTTAAATAGAGAAGTCATTTGTATAGACATAGGAGCATTTAGGAAGAATATCTTTTCAAAGAATGTCAAAATATTATGTTATCTAAATCATGATTTTTATAAGATTAGATTATATATAAACTATACCAAATCTTATAACTTTTATTCAGTTACCTAAATTTGTTTTGATTTACCATTGCCAAAATTATGTTACATTGAACCAAATAATATTTTTATATCTGTACTCTTGGAAGTATAATTAATTAAGTTTTTAGTAAACATTCATATTCAGAAGTATTTTTAAGGTATTTTTGACTTGTTTAGGACAAGGACTATTTAATATAAAATAAAATTCATGAGTTATTGAAGAGGACTGGAACCAATATGTACTCTTTTTTACTACATTTCTCTTTCTGTGTGTATGTGTGTGTGTGTGTATTTTTTTCCAGTTTGATACTACAGCTACTGCAGTTATTATGACTCGGTTAAATACAAAAGAGAAGTATATTCAGATGTTAGCTTGTAGTGACACTGTAGAAAGCAGGTAATACAGAAAATATTCTAAGACGATGTTACTATAGCCTGTATTTTTCCTTTTCACATATTAAAAGGAAATTTGATTAGGAGATTTTCAAAGGCCATTGTCTTGAAACTTTTCAATAATCTAAATAGAAAGTTTGCGTCCTTTTAAGAAACTCAATAGTTAAAAGAAAAAGCATAATATTTTTATTCAGTAGTTTCCTAACCTGTGATAGCATGTATCCTTGTTAAAAAAAAAAAAAGCCAAATTAGTAATAAGAGGGAGAGTTTAATTTTCACATCTCTTCACATCTTTGAAATTTGTTTAATAATAGTAAGTTATCCGGGACCTTTTAGCAAAGTATATGATTGTAATACTCTGAGAGAATATTCACTCCCTACTCTTTTTAAGTAATAATGTCTTTTGAAGCCATAGGATAGGAAAAAATCTATAATTTTTAAGTTGAACTTATCTTTTAAGGTTTTGTCTTATTTTTTTGAAGATCAAGTTATTTTTCATGAATTATTAATGTAGCACTGAGTATATTCAATTATTATTGAATTATTCAAAATATTTCAGTTTAAAAATGTAAGATTATGTCATTGAAATATATATTACTAATGCAAAGTTTTTTTTAATTAGTTTACACAGACATCTTATCGAACATTTAAATGCAGAGATAGTGTTACATACCATCACAGATGTGAATATTGCTTTGGAATGGATACGATCAACTTTGCTTTATATCAGAGCCTTGAAAAATCCATCTCATTATGGTTTGTTACTTTGATTTGAAAAAATAGTAAATTTTTCAAGCCAGTTGAGTCTATATTTATACTACTAAGTCACAGAATAGGTTACAGACACTAAAAGGTAACAAATAAAGAATAACAATCAGAAATACATTAGAGGGGATCCTTGGGTGGCTCAGCGGTTTAGCACCTACCTTTGGCCCAGGGCGTGATCCTGGAGTCCCCGGATTGGGTCCTGTGTTGGGCTCTCGGCATGGAGCTTGCTTCTCCTTCCTCCTGTGTCTCTGCCTCTCTCTCTCTCTGTTTTTCATAAATAAATAAATAAATCTTAAAAAAAAAAAAGGACATTAGAGGCAAGAGTAAAACAAATGTGAGAAATCTTTGTTTTATTTCTAGTCTTTTAATAAAGTTTAAATCAGCACCACTAAAAATAGACCTTTTAGAAAAAATTTAACTCAAATAAAAATAATAAAAATGCCTAAAATTATTTTTAAAATGTTAAAGTAAAAAAATTCTTGAATTTTTTCTGAACTTGTGTTTAAATCAAAGGATATAGTATTGCTGTTGCCGCTGGAATTTACAGCCTGCTTGCAAAGCTAACATGTGGTTGTGTTGCTTCTAGAAGGTTCTTTCATATGGTACAGATTATAAAGTAAAAATACTTGGAATTGCTGAGTATCAAATTAAAACCTGTGTTGTTATAGTACTATTTTAATGCACACAGATTTAAAACTTTAAAATCTCCAGGGGAAAAAAATACAGTATGCATGGTCATGCATATATATATACATATATATATATACACACACACACACACACACACAATAAAATAAGCAAGAGATAGCCAATTGATATTGAAAGGATTTCAAAACAGTGGTTATTTTCTGTAGATGGTTAAGCCTTGTTTTAACTCATTAAGCTACTATTTTTCCCTGCTCAAGACTAAGTTAGACTACTGTTTTCTAGTTAACTTATGTATAAACTGAGCCTATAAAGCTGAGTTAAGTCCTTTCTATTTTAGCATTTTATGAATTTTCATAATTTATACAGGTTTTGCATCTGGATTGAACAAAGATGGAATTGAAGCAAAATTACAAGGTTAGATGTATTTCCTTGTAAAATATTTTTTAATAAATTTAATGAAAAAGGTCAATGTGAAAGTAAGAATACTCCTTGGTAAATTATTTTTTTAAAAAGTAAAGTTTCCACACAAAAAAATATGAAGTATTTGTTTTTCACGTGCAAATAAGGTTTAGCACATGTATTTTTTTCTGAATTAATGAATTCATTAGTTATATTGGAATATCTTCCTTTACATAATATGTTAATTTGTTTTTTTTAATTTTAAAAATGACCCTCGTCTTTGAAAATATTGCCTATAGATATAGACTCTTCATTTTTCTAGTTTAATTTTAATTGAAAATATAAGCCTACTTGATTATGGGCTTCTTATCCTAATCTGTGCTAATGATGTATTCCCATCAAATCCCAGCTTAATTTTTCAATCAATTAATTACTCAATATTACCTATCTTTTCAAATATCAAAAGATTGTTGAGCATTTATTAGGATTAGAAATTGTCAGCTCTTCATTGTATTGAGACTCTCTTTCAGTGAAAGAAAAAATTTTAGATCCTCTAAAAATACTTAGCCAATTTTGGGATACTTCACTGTCTCAATTGGTAGAGTATGCAACTCTTGATCTTGGGGTTGTGAATTTGAGCCTCAGAGCCTTACAGTGGCTGCAAAGATAACTTAGGAGGATAGAAAGGATCAAGAAGTAGACATCCATCTACAGAGCAACACTCTAATTTAGACCCTCATTTGGTGTAGATCTAAAAATATTTAGCCTATTTTAATTTATTCTCTACTTGGATATACACATGGCATATTAAAATGCAGAGATAAGGATGAAGGAGTAAAATTGTCTTGATTAAAGAGTAAATATATTGTTGAAACAAGATGGTAAGCAATAGCATATATTCATAATACTGCAATTGAGAAACAGATCTATAAAATAGTTGTATTATCCTTTATTTATTGACCAATTTTAGTGGGTTTTTTGTAAAGATTTTATTTATTTGAGAGAGAGAGAGTGAATGGGAGAGAGAAGGAGCAAGGGGAGAGGGAGAGGCAAGCTCCCTGCCAAGCAGGGAGCCTGCTGCAGGGCTCAGTCCTAGGACCCTGAGGCCATGACCCGATCTAACGTTGGACACTCAACCCACTGAGCCACCCAGGCACTCATATTGACCAATTTTGTAATGGAGTTTTAAAAACATATTTTGATCATACTGATCAAATACAAGAAATCAGACAGTCCAAGAGATGTCTTGCTATATTCTGATAATTGTAATTATTTAACTTTTGTTAAATTAGCAGAACCACAGTTCATATTTGCCTCATCTTTAGTTTAGTTATTATAGGGTAGCTAAGTTTTGCATATAAAGAATAACCCAGTTTATTTATAACTGAATATAATGTTTTAGTATTCTTGGAGATCTGCCTTAAATCTCTTAGGAAGGATCCTTAGCATTCCTAAATTTGGTTATACTTTTTTGCTCAGGATCCTTCAATGGTTCCCTCATCACTCCTAGAATAAAATGCAAACTTTCACCAGACCCCACAAATCCTCCTTGATACCTCCCTGCATATTTCTCTGGCTTCATCTCTTGTCACTTTCCGCCTCTTTCATTCTGTTTCTAAATTGGATCTCTTGCTGTTCCTTAAATACACCAAGCTTGTTTCTACATCAGGTCCTTCTACTCTGTTCCTTATTCCTGGAACACTTCTCACATATTTTACTTGGTCTCCACCTTCATTGCATTCAGATCTTTGATCAAATATCAACTCCTCAGAGAAGCCTTCCTGGACTACCTTAATTAAATCTGCCTTTTCAGAGAGAATGGTAAAACAATCTTCATATTATTATTATTGCTGTTTTCCTGCTGTTGTAAAGGTGGTATGTTTCTTTTGAAAATTGGGATAAATATATCTTTACTACATCAGATATTAATATAGCTTTATATCAGAAATACATATAAGCTTCAGTTGAGCTTAAAAAATTCTTATTCTCTAGGTTCCTTCAGCTTTATTTTCTTTCATAGTACCTTTCAATGCCTGAAACTTTATTATTGATTATTAAATTCTGTATTGATTGTTTTCTTCCATAAAATATAAGTTCTGTAGAAAAGGAATCTTGTCTTGCTTAGAATAGTGCTAATGATCTTCTTGGACTGATTAACTTATTGCATGTTAATAGTGGTTTAGTATTACCAACAACTTCAAAGCCTTACTTAACCAAATACTTAAAACTACCAAGCTGCCTAAGCAATGTTGCTTAAACTGAAGTATTTCCCAAATAATTTTTCCTTGTAAGGACTGTGTTTTTGTGAGTGGCTGCTCTGTGTAAGATAGAACAGGTTGTGGCATTCCCACTCCCTGCTCTGAACTACCTCCAATCTTCTGGGCTTTATGGCATGGAACAATGGAAGCATTGTGGTCAGCAGGCTACTACAGTTGCTCTGGTCTTCATTAGTCAGTGAGAGTTGAACTTTCATTACTTCCTGTTCAGAGAATCTTTCCAGGTAGCAATGGTAGCATATTAGAGACGCTGAAGTGCCAAAATAGTCACAAGTGGTTGCTCCAAGAGTATGGCAAACTCAGAGGAGGGAAAAGACTGGTGTTTTTTGAACAATCTTTATAGATATATTTGACTCTTTATACTTTGTGTGTATATATCTTTGATTAAAGTTTTAAAAAAAAGGAAAAAGAAAACCATGCCATATTCAACTCATATAACAGAATGGTTACATAGACCTGGAGCAAGTAACCTAGCCTATCTATTTCTTTGTTTCCTAACTTGTATGTGAAATAATATTTGTACCTACCTTGTTGTGTTATTTGAGAATTAAATACAAATTTCTATTTCCTCATTTAAAATTAAAAGTTCCAAGTTGTAAATGTTATTTCATCACTTATTTTGAGAATTTGTATTATTATAGAAAATCTTTTTAGCCTATTAGCTGGCTCTTTCATTTAATGAGTTTTTTTCTTACCACATAAGTAGCAACTACAGTTTTCCCACAGCAAATATACAGAAACACAACTTGAGCATATTTGATTATAAATTCTATATTGTGTGCTCCCTTATAAAATAAAAAATATGTTTCTTATTATTGAACAGAATTATGTTTGAAGAATCTGCATGATTTATCATCTCTGGACTTGATAAGGATGGATGAAGATGTTAATTTCAAACCAACTGGTAATTATTTTATCAGTTAATAAATTTAACAATTTCTTAAGACTAATTCTTTTTAAAAAATTCATGAGAGACACAGAGAGAGAGGCAGAGACAGTGGTTGAAGGAGAAGCAGATCACACCCTGAGCCGAAGGCAGACGCTCAACCCCTGAGCCACCCAAGTGTCCCTTAAAACTAAATTTTAAAATATATCCTACAAAAATTTAGATGATGCTAAAATTAAATTGTAATCTCAGTTGTCAATAGGATATCCTCATTATTAGCATGGTATATTTATGTAAGAGTATGTAAGAGTCCCATGTATAAAATTATAGAGCTTCTTTTTTTTTTAAGATTTTATTTATTTATTCATGAAAGACAGAGAGAGAAGCAGAGACACAGGCAGAGGGAGAAGCAGGCTCCATGCAGGGAGCCTGATGTGGGACTTGATCCCGGGACTCTGGGATCATGCCCTGGGCCGAAGGCAGGTCCTAAACCGCTGAGCCACCCAGGGATCCCCACTAGTCTTTTTTTCAAACCTTTCATTTTCTCTTGCAGGGAGAAAAATATTAATTTATAAACATCTAGGATAAGAGGAGCATTTTAAAATATATCCTAAAGGTTAACATACTACTTCCCATGGTAACCATATTCTCTGTATCTCACACACTGCTCTCAGAAGCTCCCTTTTATGAACCACTGCATCACCCGCATTTTGGCTAAACACATCCACCAAGATCCTAATTGATAAAATGGCTTTTAAGCTGCCTGGCTACTTCTCTTCCTAATTCTTAATTCTGTCTGCTTTACCATGTCCTTGATGCCTATGTCTGATGGGTTGTCACATTCTTCCCTTCTTCAGCAAAACCTCTATAGCATATATATAAATGTTTTAGCCCTTTGCTTGAGAAGTAGTATGCAGTTTTTTCTTCCCAGCTGTTTCCTGTGTGTGTGCTCAAGACTTGAAATTCTTTATAATGTTTTGACAACTTGTAATTGAAACCAGTAACTTTTTAAATGAATTTCATTCCAATATTTACTTACCCCTACTCTACCCATGCTGCTACCCAGCCAACTCAATGTTCTATTTCCAAAACAGTTTATTTTCAAACTTGAATTGAATATTGCTCAAGAATTTTAAGTGGTCCTCTGTTATTTTACAAAACAAATCCAAATCCTAAACTCCTTTGTTAGCATTTCAAGGCTCTTTCAGGCCTTCATAGTCTATTATTCATCATGTTGTGGTAATAAAAATAGACAACATTTATTTAGTGCTAGGCACTGTGCTAAGTACTATATATATACTATTGCATTTAATCTTCACAACAAACACATGACATATGGAATTCTATTATCCCCAAATTGCATTAAGAAACTGGTAAAATAACCTGCATATCATCACCTACTTAGTGATGGAGCAGTGACTTGAAGCAGGTCAATTTGTCCTGAACTCATAGTCATTATCAAACCATATTCCTCACTAAAGTAGTCTAAAAGATGGTCTTTTAAAAAAAATTTTTTTTAGAGTAGCCACAGAGGGAGAGAGAATCTTAAGCAGGCTCCATGCCCAGCACAAGCCAAATGTGGGGCTCAGTCTCACGACCCTGAGATCATGACCTGAGCCAAAATCAAGAGTCGGTTGCTTAACAGACTGAGCCATCCAGGGAGCCCAAAGATAGTCTTTAACTTAACTGTTTTGATAAATAAGTCTTGGGTTTTTACTGAGGTCACGACAACTTTATTTCCTTTCTGCTGAGGCATATTATTTGTTTTTAAATCCTGCTTAAGCCCCATTTTCTCTACTAAACCATCCCACACTGACCATTCTCTTAGGTTTAATTTCTTCTCTACTGAAGTTTGTATATATAAATATATCTTTAAAAGATAGATTTATTTATTTTAGAAAGAGAGAATGTGTGCTCAGGGCAGGGAGGAGCAGAGGGAGATGGAGAGAGAATCTCAAGCAGACTCAGGCTGAGCGCAGAGCACAACTTGGGGCTTCATCTCATGACTCTGAGATCATGACCTAAGCCCAAATCAAGAGTCAGATGCTTAACTGACTGAATCACCCAGGCGCCCCAGTGGTATATGTAAATATTATCATTACCTGGATTTTGTTCTGTAGTCTATTTTGCATATAGTTCTTTCCCTAGCCAACCTATAAATTCTAGACACTGTGTCTTCTAGATTTTTTGATGTGTCTTTTGTGTCTGATGCTATTACAGGCACAGAATAGACATTAAGGAATGTTTGTTAAACTGATGAAAAAGCAAGTTGTTTCAATGAATGGAGTGAATGTTTCTTTTTTCATCTTTTTCCACAGAGGCAGGAAGATTAATGGCTTGGTATTACATTACATTTGAGACAGTGAAGAAATTTTGTACTATCAGTGGAACAGAGACTTTATTAGATCTGGTAAATTAGTTGTCACTAGAAAATAAATATGATATAGTATAAAAAAATTGGGGAAACAACTAATTTGCATATCATGCAATTTAAGAATGAATGAGCAGACAAGAAAGCATTCCTAATAGTACCTATGTCTCTTTATCTTATATACTTTTGATCATTGAAATATGGAATATTACTCTTTATAATAAATTTTCAATTTTATCTCTGTATTAGGGCTAAGAAATTTAATATATATATATATCCAAAGTAGGGATGACTTTCAACTTACATGATAATGCCAATTACCTTGGTAGTGGCTTCCAAGTGTACTTTGTTGATAATGCCAATTACCTTGGTAGTGGCTACCAAGTGTACCATCACTAGGATGATGTGGCATGCATGATATATTAGGCAAGTCTGCTGTGAGTGATGCACAGTGTTGGACATATGTGCCACATACTTACAATTCTTCCCTAAATCTTTTGCATCAGAATACCAATAATAGTTAGAACTAGGATAGTATTGGTGATAGACCAGAAAAGGACAGTGATTGTGGAGAAGTGGGAGTTAAAACAAGGTTATATTAAGATATCACCAGTGGGGCAACTTTGTAGCTACAGCAGTAAATAAAACCATAGTCTTGTTGATACCTGATAACTGTATTGATCCTTTCTCTCTTTACAGGGGATGTGAATATGCAACAAGATACTTATTCTTGTTCTCAAATTTAACCATTAATTTTTATTTAAAATATCTTATTTGATTATTATAATGAGATTATTATACAAAAATTGCACAAAAACTGATGAAAAGTAAAATGTTTATATTTTTATGTAAATATTATTCTTAACTAAGAAGCAATCAAGAGTAGAAAATCCCTAATATTTTCATTAACTCCTCTTATTTTGAGTTAGTAAGTATGTAAGAGAATTAGAACAGATGTTAGTTTCATGTTACAGATGTGAGAAACCAAAGCACAAAGAGTGCTTTGCTCTAAGTCATCTAGCAGAACTAGACCCTACAATACAAATTTAATATCTAAAGCATTCTTTCCATTACAAAATTAGTCTTAATCAAGATAATGATTTGCAAACTACAGAGGGGTAAATAATAACATAATAGTAGTAGAATTGGCAGTTACATTTATTGAGGGTGTATTATGTGGTAGGCACAGGACTGAATATTTTAAATTTTATTTTATTAATCTTAATGATTTTATTGGCATAGTCCCAGAGTCTAGCACAATGTCTGGCATATAACAAGTGTTTGTAAACATGTTAGTGAATGAATGAATGAATCTTTAAAAGGCAAAATGTATAAAGCAAGTTTTTAATTCTGTTATACATTTTAAGTGTAAGAAGATGAGAGGAAAGAAATAAAGAATGGACATAAATAAATGAACAAATGATGAAAATTTACAGGTCACGATGATATCCAGCTGCAAGGAATTTGTAGATGTGAAGTTAAGGATAAATGAAAAGAAAATATTGAATACTTTGAACAAAGATCCAAATAGAGTAACTATCAGGTATGGAGGTTAAATAAGTCTTAAATAATTTTCTAAAGGTTTTATTTAGTTAAAATAAGTAGTAATAAAGTGTTGCCTTGTGTTTTTATTTATAGATTTCCAATGGAAGGAAGAATTAAAACAAGAGAAATGAAAATAAATTGGTAAAGATGATTGTTAAATGTCTTAAAAATACTAGCTACCATTGGTAATTCATATTTATGAAAGTTTTTTTTTAGTTTTAAAACTTTATTTTAAATTTGCTTTCCTTAATACAAAAAAGAGCACATTTACATAGGAAGGTATCAGAATACAGATGTGAAATTAATATCAAATTCTCAGACTTCAGTTAAAATAGATGATTTGTGAATTTTTTTTTGATTTGTGAATTTTTTAAATCAATAAATATGTTTTGAGAGTGTGTTCTGCTGAAGCAAGGTAATGAGAAAAGAAAGTTAGGTTTTTCATGATCAGGAGCTTTCAAGTTAGCTTGAATGAGAACCATGTGTATAAGGATAAACGTGTATAAGGATAATGGAGAGTGTGGAAACACATATAATAAACATATATTGAATGAGAGTAGCATTCTGAGAGAGACAAATAAAATAGTAAAAGTAAAACCATGAGAGAGACAAATAGTAATAGGAAAAACATGAGTGAATGCATATGTGATGGTGGAATGCCTGTTCTGAGAATGAGAAGTTCATATAGAGGAATAGTAAATAGAAGTGTAAACTAAGACTACATTGTAAATTGTGACTTACACAGTTTGCAACACAAATGCAATGATATTCTTTTCTGCTATGCCTAGTGTTTTATTTTCTGAGTATTTAGGTCTTAGTGCTAAACTCTTTCATTTAGTTGGTGATTTATGTGAAATGACCTATGTGCCTCAATAAAGCCAGTTAACCAAAAAATTTGTTTTTCCTCCTTAGCTAGAGGAGGTCACTCTGGTATACTTCCTTACATTCCATTGAATTTTATCTTCCACATGCCTTAAAGTCTCAAACAAACTTCTTACAGTTGTATACAGCTCAACAGGCAGATCTACAGCTTGGACAACAGAAGCTAATGCTCTGTTCCTTAGTTATATTTCTCTAGAAATTCAAATACCCAAGACCTATAGTCTAGTCCTTTCATTTTATGAATGAAGTAGGTGATGCCCAGATAAGCTGACTTTCCCAAGATGTTACTGCACTACTAGAGACTGAGCTAGAAATAAAACCTAGACCTCTTGATTCTCTCAGTGTTTTTTTCCAATATACTCTGTTGTATCAACTATTGGGTCATATTAAATCAAAGTACTTTTCCATTAGCATCTTCTTAGGAACACTTTATTTGCAGCTTTAATGCTTCTATTTACCTTCCCTTAGGTTGGGTCATACATTCTTTTGATTAGTGCTGTCAGATTTTAGAATTGATGATTTTATAATTTTTATAAATATCAGAATTTAGTTTCCTCTTATAATTTCCCACCTTTCTGTGTCTACTTCAGTGTGACTGGGAAAAGAGAACTATGTGGGGGCCTTTCTTAATCCAAAATGTAGTTTTTTGGTAGGTGATGATAGCTAATAGTTACCACTTTCATGTGTCTCTCATATCCCTGTTACTGTACTGAATTTCAGATTTTTTTTCAGATTTTTTTAAGTAGATATTAATCTTCTTAATTTTAAACTTTTATTCTTCCAAGTTTTCGAACTTTAATTTCAGGCTATTTTTTATTTTTTGTAACTTTAATTCCCAGATCTTTTGTACTCACCACTAGCTCTGTTTGCTTTAACTGGTATTTTTCAACGAACTCTTGGATGTATTTTTAGATCAATGATTTTTCTTCTTCATTTGTTTCTTACTATTATATAAATAAGGCATGGATTAATTTTTAAAGAGTCAAAAATTTATAAATCAAAAGGTAAAGTCTGGGCAGCCCAGGTGGCTCAGCGGTTTAGCGCCACCTTCAGCCCAGGACGTGATTCTGGAGAGACCGGGGATCGAGTCCCACATTGGGCTCCTTGCATGGAGTCTGTTCTCCCTCGGCCTGTACCTCTGCCTCTCTCCCTCTCTCTCTCTTTCTGTGTGTCTCTCATGAATAAATAAATAAAATCTTAAAAAAAAAAGGTAAGGTCTGTCTTGACCTCTCTGATCTTTCTTCCCTAGAAGTAGCTATTATCAGTAGTTTGCTGCATCCTTCCAATTTTCTATTTAGCACAAATATGTATGTTAATAAACATATATGTCTACTACAAAAACAAGATCATAATTACTGTTCTTGTGATGCCATTAATATTCCCTATAAGTACATAAACATGTTAACCTCATTTATTTTAATGGCAATGTATACTTTAATAGCAATGTAGTTTATGAGTATATTATAATTTCTAACCACTCCTTTATTGATAAAGAATTAGATGGTTAACAAATTTTTACTATTATAAATAGTACTGAAATGAGCTTCCTGGTGTTTATATCATATTTTTCAAAGATTTCTGGGTGAAAGTATATATAAATGAGAAGATTTAATATGTAATGCCAAATTGCCTTTGAAAAGGCTTCTCTGAATTATAATTCCCACTCATAGTGTAAAAAGAGTGACTATTTCCATACATCCTCTCTAATGCTTGTTTTATATCTTTGAACTTTTGCCAGTCTAATGGGTGAAAATTATATTTAAAAATTTGCAAATCTGGGATCCCTGGGTGGCGCAGCGGTTTAGCGCCTGCCTTTGGCCCAGGGCGCGATCCTGGAGACCCGGGATTGAATCCCACGTCAGGCTCCCGGTGCATGGAGCCTGCTTCTCCCTCTGCCTATGTCTCTGCCTCTCTCTCTCTCTCTGTGTGTGTGTGACTATCATAAATAAATAAAAATTTAAAAAAAATAAAAAATAAAAATAAATAAAAATTTGCAAATCCCTGATTATTAGGGATGTATTATTTGGTTTTACACAGAAGTGTTAAATAGTTATAAAATCATACATATTAATCTCTTTTTAATGAGTTCTATGTTTTGTGTCTTGTTTAAGGAAGTTTTTTCCCCTCCTGTATTTCTTAAGATTAAGTTCAACTATGTAAAACTACATAATAAAATGAGTTAGCAATAGCTTAAAGAAGACAGGCTACTTTTCTTTCACAGAAGAGATAGTTCAAAGTGGATTAGTCTAAGGTAGATATGGTGGCTTCATGGTATCATCAGTACTTGGCTTTCTGTCTTTCTGCCATCCCACATACCTTCTGTTTCAAGGTCACCTTATTGTCCAAAATACCTTCTAGAGCTTCAGCCATTATATTTGAGTACCTTCTGTCTTTTAGTAGACTCCTTAGAAGTCCCAGATAACACTTTACACCTAGTTATAGGACTACCCCTAAGTGCAAAGGAGACTGGGAAATGTCTTGGTGATAGTGTGCCTAGATTAAAATTGGGCTTCTGCTATTAAAAAGGAAAGAGAGTAAATGTTGGGTAGGCAAAGCAGTCTCTGCCACAAATCCTAAGATCATAGGACTTCTCCTATCACTTCTTCAAATACTTTAAAACCATTTTATGTTTTACCTGTAGGCTTCCTATAAGGCATCTGGAGTTAATTTCTTTATATGGTGTAAGTTAGGAATTTAATTATATTTTGTTCCCAAAAGGTAGTCAGAAATGTTTGATAAATACATTGCTATTCTCTCTTTGCCTAATGATTTGAAATGCCGCCTTTTCATAAACTAAATTCCTAATCATCGGTTTTTAGACATTTAACTGTTGGTCTAGTCTATTTATTTTGTTGCTGTTACAATACCACATTGTTTTACTTGCTCCTCTTATATTAAAGTTTTGTGATATGGTAAGGCAATTCCCTCCTTTTTGTTCTTCTAAAGATGTAGCCAAAAGGCTACTCTGATATTTTTCCTCCCTATGAACTTTAGAATCAGTTTATCAATATCTATAAAAAGTCCTTTTGAAATTGGTTTTATAGATTGGGGAAGATTCTTGTTTTTACAATTCTGAAATCTTTCTGTCTAGGAATATGGTATTTTTCTCCATCTATTTGGGTCTTTATGTCTTTCTGTGAAGTTTACCATTTAGGTTTATATTTCTTGGCAGGTTCATTTCTTGGTATTTTTTGGAGTTTGACATTGTGAACAGAGTCCTTTTAAAAATTGCATAACATTGTATTTTGTAATCAGTTATGGAGTATACATAAGAAGGCTACTGGGTTTTTGTTTTTTGTTTTTGTTTTTTTTTTTTAAGGCTACTGGTTTTTGAATTTTGATTGTTTTATCTATTTCACTGAACTCTGTTAAAAGAGTACTAGAAGTCCTTCATTTGGTTTGCAGGGATTTCCTAGATAGATAGTCATATCTATAAAGAAGGATAGTTTTATCTCAATTACTAATAGTTATAGCTCTTATTTTTCTTAACTTGCAGGTGAAACTTCTAATACGCTGTCCTTAGTTTCAGATCAAACATCCTGTCTCATTACTGTTTTTAGTGGTCAAGTGTCCATTGTTGCACCACTAAGGAATTCCTCACATTTTTGGAATTAGGTTCTGGGATCCATTATGCTCCTTCTTGCTTATGTAAAAACAGGTTTGAGTTCAGGGTAAAGAGCTACCTGTCATTGTTGTGAAAATCTGAAAGTGTCTTTTATATTCTTTGGTTTTTTTTTTTTTGCAGTGTTTATAACTTTTCTTGAATCAGTTTTTGCTGATTTATATGTTCCTGAGGTAGCATTCATTTCATCCATCTTGTCTGTTTTATGACATATTTTGTTTTCTAAGAAGTTAAAAATTTCCTCTGAAGATGTAATGTCAGCTTTCTAATTTCTAATATTATTTGTGTCATCTCTTCTTTCTCTTAATTGATTTTTCCAGAGGTTTCTATATTTTGATCTTTTCAAGCCATTTATTTTTCTATTCCATTAATTTCTGATTTTATCTTTATTTTCTTCCTTCTACTTTCTTCTGTTTGTAGTTCTTTTGTTATATGTTTGCTCCATTTTTTGTTTTTCTTGTTTTCCTTAAAATATTTAATACTTCACATTTTCTACTAAGTATCATTTTGGCAATCTCAGGAACAACTAGAGATTTTCTAAATCTATTTCTATACTTTTTAAAGGTAATTTCAGTGTTAATTCCTCTTTAAGAATTATTTAAAATTGTTTTTTCAAATTCTTAAAATCATTATTTTA